GGGGGGGGGGAATAATTCTCATTAGGGTCTTGAAATACGCGATACTAAGGGGATACAGTACTACACGATACTCCTATTGTACGGAATACTACGGAGCTTTCTAGCTTGTCCCTGTACGGAGTATAGGAGCCAATCCAGTCCAGTATAGATTTTGAGAAACCATTCGAGAACCAATCCGATAACAAGCACTCTTCGACGCAGCGAGCCTTCGGCCAGTCCGTACGTCTGAGGATTTTGGTTGCACGGTAGGACGAAGGCCGGGACTCTTTGCCCCGGAGAGCCGGGGACCACCCAGACGGTGGTTCCAAAGCACCGGAGTCGGGGGTTCCGCGGAGGTCCAAGTAACTCGATACTAGATGGTTAGTTACTGTACAACCTTCTTGACTAAGAGTCCCTCGACTCCAGACCTTGTATAAAACTAGCCTGGTAAAAGCCCACCTCAACCTAACTCTCGGATATTAGTTCTCTGTGTCACCTTGTAAGACCTCACTCATTCTCAGGTATGGAACTTGGGTAGCCAGAGAGAGTACAGCACTCGGCATATCATGATTCTCACCTATTTCTCTTTCCTATGCAAGAATTGACCAAGAAGGGCTGTCAACCGATCGGCCAATGAACACCAGCGCCATTCCACTGGGAATTGGCAACCAGCCCAGCCACGGCCCGCTTCACCCTTGGTGCTGGGACTGGGCCGCTTTTGGATAAACGAAAAAAAAAAAGAAAGAAAGAAAGAAAGAAAATGCTCATTTCCAAACCCAGGCGAAGTTATTTAATTGCATCTTCCTGCAAGGCCATCCTGGTCGCCAACAAAAACCCCCAGTCGCGAATACCCCCGACGATTTGTCTCTCGTATGGGATGAAGCAATACGAAAGGTTCGGGAGGTGGGGGTATCTGGTGCCCTTTTGATATTAGACTTAGTCTAGGTGGGTGTTCATTTTGCTAGGCTAGATCCAAACCGGCTGAGCATCATGATACTGGAGGAAGTTCTTCTGATCGACCATCCGATCGCGAATGCTCAGCCCCGCAACCATCGGGGAGAGCCGCCCTGGGGGGTGGAGCTGTCAAGGGAATTCCCATCTACAGTACGGACCTCTTATGGAGCACTGTCCGTAAGAGAAGCGAGATCATGGTAGTATTATATACAGACTTTTCTCCATGCTACCTAATCAGATAGCTCGTTATGAACTCATGTACTCCGTACGCAAGGCCTCATGCCAAGGGTTGCGGTTCTAAATCAAACCGATCCCGGGAATCTTGCCCATAGGTGCTGATGACGCACGGTCAAATCCCGGTGGCTCGTTTACCTATGAATTAAGCCTAGCTCGTTACCAACGAACCGCGATTGGTCAAATCAAATGGTAATATGAGAAAATCAATTTGCCATTCTTGCCCCTCCGGAAGAATAGCAACTCCTTCGCCTGACTCAGAGGCTAAGGGCGGAAGACTCCTGCCGTATTCAGGTTTAGCGGTGGACCAGTTGATCTGTCAGAAATAGCATTTCCCAACAATGGTCAGGTAGCGCCTGGCGGTCTTGATTTTCCCATTTTTCTTCCCGCTCCTTATTGGGTACCATTGTTCTGGATGCTCCTCCAGTTCCTGACCTCAACTATCTTAAAGTCTGGTGCAGTAGCATTATACCAGCGTCGTAAGGGCTACCAGCCTACCAGTCAGATATATGCTGATTCAGCTCGGAACGTTGTCTCCGTCTGGGCCACGTCAAGCCGGGGTTCTATCGTCGGGCTCAGACAATGCATCGCGAAGCATGCGCAATATCCCGGGCAATCCGAATTGTGCTTTTCTGCATTGTTTCCTTTTCCATCGCTCTGCGTCGTGCAACTGACTCGCCGACGATGCCATCTATAGATCAAATTAATCTACTCGGGCATTTCCCATCGGGCTTGCACCGTCGCTCTTACTTTCACCATGTTCTACAGTAAAACATTTTTGCCCAGTGAAACGGAACTCTTGGAATAATGCGCGCAGAAATGCAATATTACAACTCGGACTGCTAGGCCATGTCGCGTAAGAGAACACTGATCCTCCAGGCAGAAGCTGCTGATCTCCAGACTACCTTTACTGTTGCCAATTGAGCTCATTCACGGCTCGACGGTAGCGACACTGTGTCACCGCTCAAACGAAGCTTGCTATACCAATTCTCAAGTTCCATTACAGCTAAAGCGCGGGATGTACCACACGCATCGGAGTCGGAGTATACCGAATTTCAAGTCATTATTTTGTATCGCCCATCGATCACGGTACTGTACGTAAGTACAGGGACAGGCCATGGGCCGCCAGAGCAACCGTGCATTCGGATCCCGGCTGTGATTGCGATCCCTTTCCCACGCAAGAGAACCCTGCAAACCCCAATCAAAGATCATTCTCCCCCTAGCTGCCACCCTGCTCGATTCCCATTGCGAGGGAACTAGGGGGCCTTGATTGGCAATCGGACGAGTCCGAATGAATATCCCCGACCCGACCGTCAGGAAAGTCTCGGGCTCCCAAAGTGTCGGTAACGCCGGCGCAAGAGCCAAATTTCAATGAAGGGGAAATCCCGAGGGATTGGTTGGGTTTGAACTTTGGAAATATTTTGTTTGAGAACTGGAAAATGAGAGTAGTATGTGATATTTTGGGGAAGGGTATTTATCTTTTGCATGTAAGATGGCTTGTTCAGCGATGCGATGGCGTGGCTCGGGCGACAGACTGTTTCCGCGGCGGTGGAGACAGAATGATCTTGGGCTGGTGTTTGGGGCCGACTTCGCTTTGGTCGGAGTGTGGTGGGGTGAAGCTCTCTACAGGGGGGTGTTTTCTAACCCTTCGCAGGTACTACGGGCTCCATGGAACCACGCATTGCGTATGTCTTTCCTTGACATTCTGTATGCATGCTTGAAAGCTAAGCGACATTCGGTTGTTCTCATCTAGTACTATTCTAGCACCAATACTCAGGTAAATGGCTTGTTGTGTGTAGGTCTAATAAGGTGGACTGTTGTGGGTACCCCACGAACTCCATGGTTTTCTGCTCTAAAATCCACTGTGGTTCTAAGAAATCTCATGTTAGGCTCATATGATTTTACGAACCGCCCTCGTTATCAGATAATGCAGTGCATATTAACTTATGAATTCTGCATGGTGGCAAGAGGCGTGCTTTAGAGCAGACAACGTTATCATTGACATACTCTAGCGCTCGATTCTGGACACCGCCACGTGCCGATATTGTAAAGTCAAGCACTCAAAGCCACTTCGTTTGCACATACCCTGACCATATACACTAGCTATTCCTCTAAATGCTGTCCAGTGTTTTTCAACAGTCTATGTAACCAATTCTCGTAAGAACTCACTTGCCGAGACAAGGCCATCCGGCCGAATATGCAGGCCGCACTTAGCGATTCATCCTCATTTAGGCTAGTCATTCCCGTTCAAATTAAATGACACTTGGCTTGCGACTCCATCAAGCAAGACCCTAGTACAGTAGTATTCCAAACTTTTGGAACAAGAGCTGGAAGAAAAAGGATAGTCAGGCACATTCTAACGTCCACTGTTTCTGAAGATCTTTCGGAAGGTCCTTTGAATAATCTTTCCAAATAGCCCAGGCAGTATCTCTCGATTTGTCTTTTAAGTATGTCCGATGAAGATTTTGATTTTTGTTCGGGTCCAAACTTATGAACCTCCACTGTATACTAGACCGCTGCCTGTGACAGACAGATACTACTTGGCCCACCGTCACTTGCTCATCACTGGACGATAAATTATTCCGTCCACTAGAATCGCTGCGATCTTAGACACTGGCACAACGTCACAGATTATCTAAGAGTGAAAGCCTACTGGAATAAATTAAACACACAAAAGAGGTATAGTAGAACTCTCTATTAAAGCGGTACATGTGAAGCAAACTCATCCTGCTAGGAAGACTGATAACTTACTAGAGGTATTCTGCATCGCCTATGATGATCGGCTAGAGAGTCACCCCACTGTGAGCATTTTAAAACTTGTTGGCTTACCAGCCTTTTTCATCCTTCTTCAGTTGACAAAGCAACCACACCCGATGGTGAAGGGACTGATCAAATTGAGATCAACAGCGAGCAGAAAAAAACCCCTCCCAACTCTATAGTGCGGTATCTAACATAATTCGGGTCACAATTTGGAATTTCCAGCAGCGCGGAACTTAAACAGAACCACACTCTGTGCCCAAGTGGAGGCCGTCCACCAATCGGCTCGTCGCGTGGGAGAGACGCGTGATTGACACGGGTCATGAATGTCAATTGCAAAAAGAGAGGCAATTTGCTGCATATCAGGCGCAACTACTAAGGTCTGGTTCTCTCCAGTTGCACCTATTAGATTCATTCCATGGCCTGCTCCTGATCCGCGCAGGGATTTCCCCCCGAGCGTGACCCACCAAAGGAATTGTGTTGAAAGGGCATCTGGAGGCTCGCCAGTGTATTTGGGCTCAACAATGAAACCGTCTGAATTTGTCATTCTCTGTCTTGGTATAGTTATCGAATGCTGCTGACGATCTAGAGCAAATTTCGGATCATCAGATCCACATTATCAAGTCCTTCCCGATGGCCACGAAGTCCGCAATCATGGCCCGTAATTCGGACCATCTTGACTCTTTCTCCCATAGCAATGGCTGCAATGACTCAAATGGAAGCCTTCTTCGATAAAGAATGTGCTTGAGAAATTAAGTTGAATCAGCGAAAACTCTCTCCACTGATGTTACTGTTCCTTCAACTGGTTGTTGGACTTTGTCCGTTCTGCCAAGCATGTAGCGATTAGTATGAGGCTTAGATGAATTTCTTAACGTAGACTTCATACCTAGTTTCGATACGGATATCTGTCTGGACTCTGGAAATTCCATGCTGGTGGGTGAGGGTTTGTGCCAGTCCAATGATCTGGACGACCTGCTCCATGTGCCTTCTATTGTTATTCGTATGGATTAGTTCGGTGACTCTGGTATGTGCCATGGTGAACATGAAAAAAGGCGTTGATCCTAAACCAAGCCATACATTTGTGACTCATCTCCAGAAACCTGATTCAAGTATCATTGTCTACACTATTCAATATCGCCGAAGGCATCGAGGGAAGCGCCTACCGATCGTCGTGCCAGTAGTATGTGTGATGAATGCCAACCCCGAGTCTTGGAGGAGTCGCTGGATGTCGGTAATTTGCTGGGAAAAGGATGCAGTAGCAGATCCTATCTAGAGAGTAGGAGCAAGAGTTGAGTGAAGTTGTTCAGAAAAGTCAAAATTGTGTAGAGTGTATAGATGGCTCTGTCTTACTGGGATCAAAGAGAAATCTGCCGTGCACCGGGCAGGTGTCGTTAAAGTTGTAGCAGCGAAAGCCATCTTTTCAAATTAGAAATGCACGACTAAGATGAGCCGATTTGAGAATTAAATGAAAGATGCCTCATTTCAATGTGACTTCTGAAGCCGCTTTGTATATATATGGTCTTGTGAGCTTATCATTGTGACGTTGTGATGTGCTTGTTCTATAGCGGATGCGAGAATTGAGGCTTTCCAGTGGTAAGGTTCAAAGAGAGTTCTGGATTTCCAGTGGATCTGACTTGAGATAGACTCCTTGATGGAATTAAGAGGCGATGTGTATGAAGTCTCTAGGCATGGCACAGAGAATATTTTAGTTCACTTTGACAACGACCACACGACATATATTCCTGGGTTCCTACAAACAGGATTGGAATCATGCGGAACAGACCATAAAATGGACGGTGAATTATTATCTTGAGACAGCAATGAGAGATTATATAGCTAGTATACTCACAGTGCTTGTACAAACTGCGTAAAGAGAATTGGCCCATAAAACATCGATCTTGCCAGACTACAAGTGGTATCACTTTCGATCATCTTTGTTGATACCGACCTTATCGGATAACGATAACACGGGCGGATAAACTTGACTCCGCTATGACGCACCAGGCCCCAATCAGCATCAGCATGAAGAACAAGCCCTCAAGGAGCTCACAACATTCGATCTTAACAGCATCTATTCCACAGCCTTGCTGAGCTCCTTGTTTCTAATATCTGGCAACATAGTCAGGGCTCTGAGGCACTCGTGACTGGCGACCCAAGTACTCCTTTTCATGAATAAGATATCTTGATGCACCACACAGCATCACATGGCGCGCCAGTCCGCAGCACGTCCTGCGCAGGGCAGGACAGCTCGTGGCCGTCGCTCAAAGTCTGAGTCCGCAAGTGAAGACCGAGTCCCTGAGGTCTACCAGGAGATGTTGGAAGAGGCTGAAGCTCGAGATCCTGGGCATTTTCTGTCAGATCGACCGATCAAGAGGCGCAAGATTGGAGACTCGAGGTCTCTCCAGACAAGGGCTATCCCCGTCGACTCTCCGCCGCCAGAGCAGGCCAAGGTGGCTCCATCTCCAGATGAAAATATTACTCAGAAGGTTCAGACGGTCTATGATTCCACCACCTCTGATGAATCAGATGTGGAATGGGAAGACGTGGACGTTGCACAACCTGCCCGAGGACTATTTGGCACGGCCACCGAGAATGAAGGCAGAGATGAAACTCTACAGATTACCCTGGATCGAGAACCCAACGTACGCAAAAGAGCACCCCCAAGAAGGAAGCCGATCACCGCAGCAGAGAAAAAGATACGATTAGATGCTCATAAGGCTCATCTTCTTTGCCTCTTGGCTCATGTTAACTTGAGAAACCGGTGGTGCAACGATCATACGATACAGGTAAGTCTCAGTCCGCTGAGTTCTTGGTCTAGAATCTAAAGGAGAACCAGCGTTATCTCAAAATGATGCTACCGAAGAAAATCATTGCTCTACTGAACCCCAACGAGGATAAGCCACAATTTACGAGATCGACTACATTTATCGACGGTCTCAATCAAGCTGGTGACATTTTTGGTCGGAGATTTCGGATTACCAAGCCAGGCCTGAAGCGCGCGCACTGGGCTGAGGATCAAGAACAGCTGAAACAGAAAATGGTAAACCATCTTGATACAGTGATACGTGGCAGGAGACAACCGATGTCTGACATGTATCTAGGAAACAATCATGTCCGACGCTGAAGTGTTCTTCTCCAAGGAGGAGTTCCAATCCCAAGCCAGGATATTGCAGGGCTCTCGTGACTTCGGAGCCCAGCTGTTCTGCGCTTTGTTGCGTTCAGCTGCCGTAGAGGCAAGGCTTGTCTGCTCACTTCAACCGCTCCCATTCTCAGGGACCGTCAAGGATATGACACCATCCAAAAATCCATCACAGTATATTGTCATATCCTCTGATGATCATGACACATCTACCGACGAGCAGCAGAAGTCAAACAGTGGACTGGCAACTCCATCACAGACACGACGGATTGGGAGACCCGAATTTACTTCACGCCCTGCTCAAAAATCCGTACGCCTAGGTATGTGACCAATCTCGTAATCTTTCGCAATCGCTAAACTTCACAGGCTCTCTACCAACTCCCCGAGAATCCTCGTATCCAGTTTTCTGGGTTGAAGCCTTCAACGAGGCGGTCCAAAAATGGATTCCAATTGACCCTTTGGTAACCAAGACCTTGGCAAAGCCCTCGAAATTCGAGCCCCCTGCAAGTGACCCATACAACAACCTGAATTATGTGGTCGCCTTTGAGGATGACGCATCAGCGCGAGACGTTACTCGACGCTATACCAAAGCTTTTAACGCAAAAACCCGCAGGTCCCGAGTAGAGACCACACGCAATGGAGAAAAATGGTGGCATGACGCACTGATCGCCTATGAAAAGCCATTCCTAGAGGATCGGGATGAGGCTGAAATCAGTGAATTGACCTCCAAATCTGCCGCCGAACCAATGCCGCGCAACATTCAGGATTTCAAAGACCACCCTGTCTACGCGCTGGAGAGACACTTGCGACGGAATGAGGTGATCTTCCCCAAACGTGTCATAGGACACGTCGGTTTAAGCAAGACTACCACAAAAAGTGACAATCTGGAGTCCGTCTATCGTCGCTCTGACGTACATATCGTACGCAGTGCCGACAAATGGTATCGGCTGGGACGGGATGTCAAGGTAGGCGAACAGCCTCTCAAGCATGTCCCCGCGATCAGGCCGAAGAGCGGAGTCGCTAGTGACGAAGATGAGGAAGAGACCGAAGATACCGCTCTCTACGCAGAGTATCAAACCGAGATATACCGGCCTCCTCCCGTGGTGCAAGGGAGAATCCCGAAAAATACATACGGAAATCTGGATGTCTACGTTCCTAGTATGGTTCCACCGGGAGGAGTCCACATCAAACATCCCGAGGCAGCTCGATCAGCAAAACTTCTGGGCATTGACTATGCAGATGCAGTGACCGGGTTCGAGTTCCGAGGACGGAGGGGCACTGCGGTGTTTGGGGGAATCGTCATTGCCCAAGAATTTCAAGAAGCCCTTGACGAGGTGCTCAGAAGTCTCGCCGATGAGCGACGCCAAGCTGCCGTTGAAGCGAGATCTGTGGAAGCTCTGCGACTATGGCGCCTGTTCCTCATCAAATTAAGAATCGCGGAAAGAGTGAAAGTCTATGCAGACGACGATGAGAGAATGGAGTATGACGATGAGCCAGAGCCAGAGCCCGAGCTAGAAAGCGATGGGGACCACACTGAAGATGCTGGAGGTGGATTCATTCCCGAAGAGGGCGGAGGTTTTGTACCTCAAGATGCCGGTGGCTTTCTCCCCGAGGACGGCGGTGGATTTGTTCTTGAGGCGGATGAACCGGTTGCCGAAGAGGAGGGTGGAGGCTTCGTTCCTGACGAGCCTGGTGAAGGAGGCTTTACTCAGGATGGATCAACGGAAGAACCTCCCGCACCAGTCACTCAGCGACCAAGTACGGCTCCATTGCCTGCGAATTTGCTGAGAGACAAGCGACCTAAAGCGCGTCAAGCTCCTCGATATGAGTTGATTGTTGTGCCAAACAAACCCGAGTCTAAATCAGATGGAGAGCACCAAGCCGGCGGGCTCGAGAAGAGGCTCGATGGATCATCTGCGACGGCTCCAATTACAGTCGACTCGTCAACCAACGGTGGCTCTAAATCTGCTAGTGTGGACATCGTTTCTCGTCCACCGTCTCTCCCAGAGGCTACCCAGTCTCCACCCCCTCCAGATTCTGATAGCGAGATTGAACAAGGGTCTCTCCTATCTGAGGATCCCGAAGATGAAGATGCGATCCCAGAGTGGCTTATGTAAAAAGACATTTGTGCATACCTAATTGTGATTGTGATCTTTTCAGTTGTCAGAAGCATTGTCCATAGCTGAAAGACATATTCTAGCCATGTTTCATTCTATTCTCAAGAAGCCGCGACACCGTGAAACTAAAATAAAACCATGAATTTGCCAATAATGTAGACCATGTGAATTTTTCAGTAACTAGATATTCACCATGAATTAGGCATTAACGCAGTCTCGCAGATATCAATAACAGAGCATTTTGAGGCTCAAGGTGTCACGTGAACTCGTAAATGAGCGACGCGTCTGACGCGGTTTGCCTCAGGCAACATCTTCCAAACGTCATCCTCGGAAGAGAACCGTGGCTCTCAGCCAGCTCATGCCACGCAAATCCACAAGTCGCGCTTTGTGTTTGTTTAGTGGAAGCTGCGATGAAAAACTACAAAACGCCAGATATTGTATCAGAAACACCCCGTGATCGGTTTCGAACACCTCGGCGACCAAGTCCTCAGTCATCTTCCAAGACCTCGAAGAGCACTACGTCGAAGAGAACAGTGTCTCCAGGGTTGTCAACATCTGGGCGACCCCGGAAAAGAGCATCCCTACCGAGTTCCTATCACGGACAATCAACTCTCACACAGATCGATTTCGTGACCCAAACTCCACATCCGGACGATGACGAGCTCGACTATATTGATAATACTGTAGGAGGCGGAGATGCACATAAGCTTGCCCAGCCAGTGCAGGTAGATGATGATCTCAGCGAAGATACCGAATATCGACCATCGTTGCCCGCTCGATCGGGCCTTTCTACACTCGGGATGAACGACGACCATCCCAAACGGCGAAGAAAGAGCGCAGTCGCTCAACGAGCTCCCCTACGCAAGAGCCAAACTCCTAGGCAGGGCAATGTCAGAGGAAAGCGAAAGTCGACAGACAAGCCGCCAGCAAAGCGCGACAAAACACTCACACAAATGGATTTCGTGCGACGCTATATTACGATTGATGATGACGACGATAATGACGCGAACATGGGGTATTTACCGCCTCCATGCGAAACGGACTCGAAAGAGAATGTTCAGCAAACAAATACAACAAAAAAGAAGGAATTGGAACCGGAAGCTCCTCTGTCCTCCACGAAGCGCACCCACAGAGTTCTTGAAGCTGAAGTAGACCTGTCTACGGGTGAACCTATATCCCAGTCCGATGAAACCCAAAGTCTCAAAGAACCTGACCTTCAACGCCAATCCAAAACAGAGAATCCAATCACCCCCCGAAAACCGAGGAGACTCGAGATTCCATCATCGCAGTCACCGGAAAGTCCAGGGTTGGCAATCATTACCTCGTCTCAGTTTCGCAGTGCAACTCGGTCACCTCAGAAAAAGGCACGGTTGAGCTTCGTCAATTCTGAAATTTCTATCAAGGAAGAAGAAGCTCTAGGCGTACCAGGGATGGCCGAGGAGCCATCCAATCAAGACGATACGATGGAAAACCAGACACCCACACAAAACCGAGCTATAAGCCGCAATTCTCCTGACCCAGATTTACCATCGTCCAAACACAATACATTGTCGACTGTGTCAAAAGTCACGGTGAAATCACCGCCAACTGATGATGAACCCCTACCGGGGCGTACCCAACGTGAAAGGACAGTGATCTATGAAACCGATGCAGAGTCGGACAATGATGACCTGGAGGGTGACATTGAGGATGGCCTCGATACTCCAACTCGACCTCGTGGCCCGCTATTGGAAAACTTGGACGAGGGCCACGGTGAACCACAATCGCCGTGTGATGACTCTCAAGATCTTCCCTTGCCCAGCGCCCACACATATGGCGACCCAGACTCAGCACCTCCCTCCGAAGCGCCGATGTCAGATGCATCGATGTTTTACCGAAGAGTGCAGCCCGCAACTCAATTCCCGCACGAGCCTATCCCGGCGCTGAACACCCAAAAGTTGTCCGAGCTATTTCCAAATGAAGGAAGCACACAATACCCTCGCCAAGGGCCTACGCGTGGTTCACTGCAGCTTGCTCTTCCTTCGTCCCTAACTCAAACGCAAAGCCAAGGAACAGACCAGATTGAACTTGTGCCCGAGTCCTCGCCCGCCCGGGATAATGAAAACAGCATGGACCGTGATAAGGATGTCATTCAACGACCTCGACCCCCTGGGTCGGTGGTCCAAGTCGAATCATCTCAGCCAGTTGATCGTGGTCATCATGGACCGGGTGGAATATTATCACGCAGTCAGCTTCTGAATTCTAGTGTTATGGAGAGCATTCCTATGCCCAACTTTTGGATAGGGAGCCAAGATAGTGTGGGAGAACCTTATAGTTTACCTGAATAGTGATATTCTTAGATACCCATAAATTTACGAACTTGAATATAGCGTCCGTCGTTTCAATTCTTTGTAACAAAACCTGCAGAGGGGTCTCTTTGTAGCTGGCCTTGATTGTCTGATTCGGTCAATTTTCAGTAGTTGCGTCGAGCTTAGCACGGGACGAAGCGGGGCGGTCGGACCATCGACGAACGCGGAGGCGCAACCTCTCAAATGGTTGTGTCGGTCTGGGACCTTTCCCCTCCTCCGTGTCCACCTCATCATGGATTTCGCATACGACCATATCCAGGAGGAGATCCTGGCCTCGAATAAGGCCGAGGACTCCTCTGAATCAAACAACGAGAATTCCAACGGCAACCTCAACACCGAGCTCCAAGAAACCTTCCGCGCCTTTTCCGCCAGCCCGTGGGGGACCCGAATCGGAGGACTCTGGGACAATGTACGCAAGCAGGGAGAAAGCTATTATGAAGGCGCACAGAAGGAATACAGCGCTGCCAGCGAGGAAGCTGTGAAGGGATTCTCAGACCTGCGCAACAGTATCGTTGACCGAACAAAGGGGCTGTCTCTCAGCACGGTTGGGCTTACAGGTGGCAGCGAAGCACCGATAGATGGAGCTGCTACACCCACAGCGGCAACGGAAGGAACGTCCAAGGACCAGGCGCAGGAAGCCGGTGCTACTGGAGAGGGCTTTATTTCACGATTCAAGGCCGAAGCCGCCCGGCGATTCAAGGAGATTGAAAAGGCCGAAGAGGCTGCCGACGAAGCTATTCTGCGATTCGGCCTGAATATCAGCCAGAAGCTGCGAGAGGCTGTAAGCATTGTGCCGCCCGAGACTGACGACTCGGGCAAGCTTCTTTTCGAAAGCAAGGATGCAGACGGCAAGCGGGTCATCCATGCCACTCGATTTGAGGCCCAACTCCATGTTATCCATTCCAATTTGGATAGCTTTACCAAGGACCCGGTTAGCGACAAGTTCCCCGAGTTCAAGGAGGATTTCAATGTGGAGAGCAAGACCGACGAAATTGCCGCCGACCTGGAAAAGTACCCTGAGTTGCGGGCAACCATGGAGAAGCTTGTCCCGGAGAAGGTGGAATATGCGGAGTTCTGGACTCGGTACTACTTCTTGCGCCTTGTCGTCGAGACTGAAGAGCAGAAGCGCAAGGAACTTTTGAAGGGTTTGTCATTGTTGCCGTTCTATCGTATACTTCATCGTGCGGTACTTGCTAACGTTGATTATCATATCTAGGCGCCAACGCTGGAGAGGAGGAAGAAGTTGGCTGGGACGACGACTCCGAGGACGAGTCTGAATCCCCGTCTACTCCCCAGGTTCGCCCTGGTGCCCAGAGCCTTGCCGCCAAGGATACCCTGAAGCCCCAACCTCGTCGATCCAACGACCAGCAGTCCCAGGCCGACAGTGAATCAAGCTACGATGTCGTCAGCGGGACCGCTAGTCGGGCCCCTGGCAGCCCCAAGGAGAAGAGCCCAACTGCCGATACCAAGGCGGATGACAGTGACGAGGATTGGGAGTAAACCTGAGTAAATTGTTGATCCCAAGGGTCTATTGGCAAGAACATATAAACTTGGCCTTTTTGAGCACGTCTCGAAGGGTACATCTTGGCTCTAAGACCCCAAAGACCAGTCGATCTGGTCATGATATTTGCGTCGGTTTTTACCGGAGTTAGACCGCTGCGGCTGGTTCAATGGCGTTGTCAGGACTCTTATCTGCTTATTCCCGGATTCGTTATGATGTCGTATCTTGAGTTCAGCGATTGATAAAGTGTCATTCTATCCGTTCCCGTTTGTTTCTCGTCGAACCTGCACATGATTCGCCCCCAATTTACATGTCACCTCGCTTACATCGAGGGCACTTCTTGTGTCTGCAATTCTTCAAGATCATGTCTATTAAAGCTTGATCCTTCACTCGCTCCTTGGACGTAGTGCCCATGCGTGACTGTCTAAAGCTCTACCTACAGAATAGCTGCCAGGGTATCACCCTGTCATACTCACGCGTAATCATACAAAGTTCATGAGGCCCAAAATCTCATACTGCTGTCCCAGAGCCGACATCCCTAACCCTTGGGGGCGCGACTAGCCTTCCTCCCCAAAGGCGAGCTTTGCCTCCAGTTACCGTCATCTGAATAGGCAGGAGTCATGTCCCTCAGCCCACTTGGGCGCACACTGGGCGAGCCTCTTCGCTGAGGCGTCTCGGGAGTGTTTTCGCGGGAGCGAATTTGGAATCCTCGAGATCCACCCCCAGGTGAGTAGAGATCATCGCCGTCGCGTGGGAGGGTGGAGGGACTTCCAGGTCCCCAGCCGTATTGGTAGTCCTCCCCGCGGTGTTTGACCGGACTCTCGTCATATGGATCCCACCCGACGCGGCGACGTGCTTCGGACCGGAGACGCTGGCGATGTTGCTCGTCGCCACCGGCACCGGTGGAAGACGACTCTTCGAGGAAGAAGTTAAGGAGCTCATCACTAATTGAAAGGTGTGACTGTTGTTGGAATTGTTGAAGGGAGGTCAGACGGAGGAGGGTTTCCAGTAGCGAAAGTGATGTGCGGATGTGTTCGAACAATGGATTTGAAACTGTGGTCGTGGTCGCGGCGGGTTGTGTGGGCGCCGAGCCTTGCGAGACATAATGGCGACCGACTGGTGATGGGGATGGGGAAGGTGAGTTCTTTCTGTCCTTTAATGACAGCTTAGCCATCATGTTAGGGTCAATAGAGGTTTCTGCTGCTGGCTCTACTTCAGACTCGGTGTCTGAATCTTCTTCCTCATTGTAAACTTCGAATGCGATCCACTCCGGGTCCAAGCCTGGAGGTAACCGCCATTCTTCGGGGATGGAGTCTTCATGCAGAGAATGTAAGTTGGTTTGATTCGACGAACTGCTTCCACTCAGCTGGGCATCGAGCTGCGCTTGCTCCTCATCGACCGAGTCTTGATCTTCTCCTTCTTGAGAATAAGTATCATCGACATCATTGTGCTCCATCATGCGGCGAGGAGGCAATGCATTCAAGTCTCTCTTGAGGAGTAGGACGGGATTGTTGGTTTCCCCCTCAGTGCTGATATTGAGAATTCTGCCCGTGTCGGCGTAGAATATTTTGGAAATTTGATGAATTGGAAGAATCTCTCTTACTCCAGCTGTAGTAACCCCGTCATAGCTATGAGGCTGAGGTTCGTTCTCTTCAAATGTGTGAACTCTCCCATCATCAAGATCCTCGATGATCATGACTTGATAAGCATATTCATCGATACCTGGTCGTGCTGGAAATTGTGAGGACTTGGATTGGTCGTCGGAGTAGTAGAGGCTCATAGGAACGCGGCGCAGCTTCAGTCGTGCCTTGTGCATGACCTCTTTCCATGTCGCTTCTCGGATGAATTCCTCATCATGGGGACGAAGATGGCTGGCAAAGAGCATGTACATTGACAGCGTAAATGTTGGTCCTATCTGCACCGCTTGAGATTCGACGGATTGTGACATGGAATATTGAGTGTCTCCTGCTGTCAAGAAGGTGCTAGCCTGCAAAAGTCGTGATGGCGACACTGTCGACGGCAGATTTGTTGACAATTTAGCACCGGATGTGGTGATAGCCAGATTCATGAGAGGAACTGCGTCCTCAATCCGGGCAAGTAGGTTCTTGATGTCTTTGATGATGAATTTGATCTCAGCCTCGTTGCTTGGACGCTCTTGTGATGACTTGGGTCCTTTTCTCATGGCTTCTTCTGAAGCAGCGGCCTTTGCCAACCGTTGACCGAGGGCCTGGATATCCCATCTTAGAGATTTAGTGAGGGCGACCGCAGATTCAAGTGAAGTATTTCCCCGAGCGGCTCTGCGTATGGCTGTCAGTGTCTAGGAGAACTTTTTCCAAAAGATCTTTCAACGAACTCACATCAGCTCAATCATGTCAATTGAAGGAGAGATGACCTACATTCCTGAATCAGCCAAAAGCCAGCAACGTCAAAGATGTACATAGACGAACCTGAATCTTGCTCTCAAGACGTTGCTGCAAAGCTAATAGTTCCTCGCCGTCCTTGCCGTCAACAGTCTAATCGACAACGACGTCAGCAACCGATCCACAGTATGGCAGCCAGACTAGATCGGGCATACCTTGAGTAAGCGCGATGATTGGCGCATTGCATAGGTCGCAGTAATTGCAATGCCCGAGCTGCACACAATGTTTCAGTTTTGATGTCATTTCAGTCTGGAAATGTTGTTCTTACCGAATGGCATAGTTCATCGCCTGCTGCGTCAGCTGCTCATCGAAACTTGCTGTTAGTAGACGACCACAGATCTATGTAGGCAATAGGGGCGACGTACGCGAGCCAAAAAGACCTCCATTTTGGCCACAGTAACCGCTTGAACGGCTCAAATCACTCCACGAAGATTGGCCTGGTATAGCGCCCCTGAGGACAAAGCATAGAGGGGCTTATCGATAACCCGGCTTGAGTTGTGCCCAACTGTCAGAGGAGAGAAGAGGGTGACAAGAGCCCAATTGTGACGTTGAATTGGACACCACCAGCAACGGGACACAAAATCCTTCTGGGTCTTCTAGACATTCAGACGACGAGAATAAATTCTCTTCCAGTCAAGAAAGAAAACAAAGAGAATTCCCTCGTCCCGTCACTCTACGTATCGGGCACGTGACGCTATCGCGGGGAGCTGACTCAGCTGTGCAAAATCAAAATCGCAGGACCCCTCATTATTATTGAAACCTACAACCTCGACTCCCGTGTTGCTTGCCGTGTCCTTGATTGCGTCTCGGAATTTATCTCACGATGTCGAACCAGACCCCCGAATCTTGGGAGGATGAGCTCTCCCGGCAAGCGGAGGGTGTCAACCTGAACGCACAAGGCCGTCGTCAGACCCAGGCGCCTTCATTCCAACCTGGTGCGGCGAACTTCCAGCCCGGCGCCGCCTCTTTCACCCCCGGCGCCTCGTCCTTCGTGCCTGGACAGCAGTACCAGCAATATGGTGGTGGCTATCAGTATAACCAGTACGGCCAGCAAGCATACGGCTACCCCCAGCAGTCCTACGGCCAATACGGCTCATATGGCCAGCAGCCCGGTGGCCAGCAGCCCGGTGGTTATAACCAGTACTATAACCAGCAACCTGGTGGCTTCCAGCAGCAGCAGCAGCCTCGTCAGCCTGCGCCCGCCGCCGCCCAACAGCCTGCCCAGCCTGCCCCCAAGGCTGCCGTGAATGCCTCCGCCGCCGCTCCCAAGGCCAAGGTCCTATCCATCGGTGCCACCTCCTCCAGCGCCGCTCCCAAGACCAAGGTGCTGTCCATCGGAACTCCTACTCCTCCCCCCGCCGCTGTCGCTGCTGCTACCCCCGCCGCTGCGACTACATCCAACTCCACCAAGGGTGATACTAAGGGTGCTGAGGCTGCCGAAGCTGGAGCCAAGGTGACCGCTGCCAAGGCTATCGAGAAGACCGAGAAGAAGGCCGATGCGAAGGGTGCTGCTAGCGGCAAGTCTTCGCCCACTCCTTCCTCTGGTCGCTCCAGCCCTGGCCGTGGCGAGGCCGCCAAGGCTGCCCGCGCCGCCGATGCTGTGGCCAAGGCTCAGCTGGCTGATGTCGACGAGGCCACTCTCAAGGAAATTTACGGTGAAAGGCGCGAGCATATCAACGTTGTGTTCATTGGCCACGTTGATGCCGGAAAGTCCACCCTGGGTGGTTCTCTGCTCTACTGCACTGGCATGGTTGATGACCGAACTCTGGACAAGTACAAGAAGGAAGCCAAGGAAGCTGGTCGTGAGACCTGGTACCTTTCATGGGCTCTTGATTTGACTAACGAGGAGCGTGCTAAGGGTAAGACTGTCGAAGTTGGTCGTGCTTTCTTCAAGGTCATGGTCCCTCACCCCGATGGCCCCATCGAGCGCCAGTTCTCGATTCTCGATGCGCCTGGTCACAAGTCTTACGTTCCCCACATGATTGGAGGTGCATCCCAGGCTGACTTGGGCTGTCTTGTCATCTCCGCCCGTAAGGGTGAGTATGAGACTGGTTTCGAGAAGGGCGGTCAGACCCGTGAGCATGCCCTGCTTGCACGTAACACTGGTGTTCAGAAGCTGGTCATTGTCGTCAACAAGATGGACGACCCCACCGTCGAATGGAGCAAGGCTCGCTTCGAAGAGTGTACCGTCAAGGTCATCAAGTTCTTGGAGGCTCTTGGCTATAAGAAGAGCGATATCTTCTGTATGCCTATTTCTGCTCAGACCACTCTGAACATCAAGGACAGACTTCCGGCCGGTGTCGCCCCCTGGTACGACGGTCCCTCTCTTCTGGAGTACCTTACAGAATTCAAGCTTCCCGAGCGTAAGATCAACGCTCCTTTCATGATGCCTATTAGCGCTAAGTACCGCGACATGGGTACCATGGCCGAGGGTCGTGTCGAGTCTGGCGTCATCAAGAAGAACGGCTCTTATCTCATGATGCCCAACCGCACCGAGGTTCAGATCTCCGCCCTTTACGGTGAGACTGAAGACGAAATTTCCACCGCTTCATGTGGTGACCAGGTCCGCATGCGTCTGCGCGGTGTGGAAGAGGAGGATTTCTTCCCCGGTTTCGTGCTCTGCTCTCCCAAGCGCCCCGTCCACTGCGTGTCTGCTTTCGAGGCCAAGATCCGTATTCTCGATCTCAAGAGCATTCTCTCTGCCGGTTTCAACTGTGTCCTTCACGTTCACTCTGCCATTGAGGAGGTTACTTTCGCTGCTCTCCTCCACAAGCTCGAGCCTGGCACCGGCCGCAAGAGCAAGCGCCCCCCGCCATTCGCCAACAAGGGCCAGACTATCATTGCCCGCCTTGAGGTGACCAGCACTGCTGGTGCAGTCTGCGTTGAGAGATTCGAGGACTACCAGCAGCTTGGACGATTCACCCTCCGTGACCAGGTATGTCTCCCGTCAGCCGTATGTAACGGTAGAGGATCTTAAATGCTAACCATTGTACCCTAGGGACAAACCATTGCTATTGGCATGATCACCAAGCTCATCCTGCCTGAAAACGAAGAGTAAATGCCTGATGCTTGGAAACATATAACGGAATATGCATATTCTCGCCTTGCGGGAACAAGACCTTAAACAGGATACCACCATGGAAGCTATGGATGTTTTTAAACTTCTCCCCAACCCGACCCTTCCAAACAAGAGGGAGCCAGGGTGGGTGGAGATTGAGCGATGATACACTCAAAAGCGTACGCTTCATTTTGATGATTATGAAACTTCTTTACCCCTTCCATATATAGAATTGCTATTTGTCATTTCGACAAGGAGTCAAATTGCAGTACTCCACCCTTGTAGATCTATCCTTTCAACAGTGAAAGCATGCCTACGGCACCGGACGATAAGCAGTTGTAATTGTATCAATTCGTCTATGTTCAAAGAGAGGTATATGTATTTATGTGCTCCATCCGTGCATTCACTATAAGAAGAAACATGAAACGAAAGCGACACGAGGATCATGGATCATTAGGATAAACAACTGCCCGCGTTGGCGTTTATTTACCGCTTCTTCTTGACTATGGTGAAGCCATCTTCGTCAATCTCAGGCTCAACCTTCTCCCTGGGTGCCCGAACCAAAGACGGCGCCTCTCCCATTTCAACATCCTCATCCTCGGAGTCATCTTCCTCCTCATCGGTCTCCTGATCCTCGTCCCGCGCTTCAACCCTCTTAAACATACTGGCGGCCGAAGACTTCTGCTGACTCTTCTTCTGCCACGTCTCCCACAGCTCTTGAATAGCGCCGAACTCTCCCCGAGTCGTCTGCGCCTTGAACTCCATGATCTCGGCGGCCACGTTGCCGGCACTCTCATCGTCGATCATGACTTCGAATTCATCGTTCATGACCTGAATTAGGACGTCCTCGAGGTCTTCGGCATCGGTTTCGGGCCGCTCGTTGAGCATCTCTGAGATGGCGCCGCAGAGCCAGTCGCGCTTGTCGCTGGAGGTAGGGCCGCCCCAGTTCGACTGCACAGCTAATGTGAGTGCGGGCCAGTTGTTCAGGACGAGTGTGATGGCCAGGTCGAGGAAGGAGCCGGCATCTTTGGCCGGGGCCGCGGTCGTTGATTGTGAGTCCATTGGGAATGGATTTACCCCGCGGGCTTGGTGCGGGTCAAAAAAGAAATTGATGGCGAGGGGAGACCCGATCGAGGCTTTTAAAGGGGATTTAGTTGTCGGAGCAACAATTTAGATGGCGACCGTGGGGAAAATCTCGATTGAGATTTCTTTGGGTTGCGCGAATTGAAGTGTTGGCAGCCCATTCAATTGTGATGCTTTTCATCCAAAAATTTTTGATTGCGATAAGATACGATAAGCACATGATCATGTGATCATGCGGCTACTATATGACAACCATCAGATTAACTAACCACTAAAGCTGTCCTAGCAATTCAATATAACCCAGTTTATGGATTAGTTGATATCAAAGGATCGAAATAACTAGGTAAATCAAAATAGTATAAGCACAAGCCCCCGATCGCAAGTCAAATATCCACAATTCCTATCAATACTCTTTCAAAGCCTCCTCGGTCCACTCCCACAGCCTCCTTGCCAAATTATCATCCCTCGCCGTCTTGTCCAGCTTCTTCTGCGCCAACTTTCCCACAGGCTCATAATACAACCCATTCTCCAACTTCTCCCTTGGCGTTGTCGCCGCCCATACCTGATTATACGCCCCCTGCTCTGGTTTGAGTACATTCCCCAAATTGGTAATGTATATAAGAGCTCGGTCCGTTAATCTAGAGTTTCCAACCAATTCCGTCGACACGACTCCGGGATGAACGGACACAGAAGTGATATCGGAGTATCGTCGGGCTAATTCGCGGGCATAGAGCATATTGGCTAATTTGCTTTGGCCATATCGTCTCCATGGCCCGCCGATCCAGAAATCCTGAACGGTTTTCAGATCGCCGAAGACGATTCCGCCCTTGGGATGGAGGAACATGCCCTCGGACGTGAGGGTGATGATGCGCGCATCACCACCGGCGGTACTCGTTTTCTCAAGGAGAGGTAGTAATTTCTTAACGAGAAGCGCGTGGCCGAGATGATTCGTGCCGAATTGCAATTCGTAGCCGTCCGTTGTCAGGGAGGGTGGTTTGGCCATGATACCGGCGTTACACATCAGGATGTCTAGTGTCGGTGCTTGAGACACGAACTGTTCGGCTGCTTCTTTGACGGAGGAGAGAGATGCCAAGTCGCATTGGATGAATTGAACTTTGGTTTCTGAACCGGTGTCACGGATCTGGGCGATGATCTTATCGGCGCTTTGGGCGTTGCGACCGCTGATGTAGATGTGTGATGCATTGTGTTTGGCTAGGTGGATGGCTGATTGAGCGCCGAGACCGTTGGTTCCTGGGCTAGTGAGCTCATGAGCTTTTTTGTGTGTCAAAATGCATTACGTACCACCCGTGATGAAGATAGATTTCCCCCTGAGGTCGGGGATCTCTTCGTCGGGATTGAAATTGAGGCCGGACATGATGTATGGGTGATGCAGGTGCAACAAAGGTAATTGGTCAGGAAGACAGGAGGTGATAGATGCATACAATAGTTAAGCTTTTAAATAGTAGAACCCCTAATCTTCCAGAGATGCCCATATCGAAAATCATACATTCTTGGTGGCGGGATTGGGTTGTACCGCCCGATCGGAAATCGGGACGATTTTGGACCGCATTGCCCCAGAACCCGGTTTACTGGTGCCACCATCTAAATACTACGGGATTTGAGTTTGAATTGGAAATTGTGGGTGACTCGATATGTGTGATTTGAGAGAGTATACAATACATGACGTATTCATCAGCCGCAGCGCTATATGTCCAAGCTCGAAGCGGAGAGGTGTGCTATCAGCACTGACATAAATCCGTCAATCTCATAACAAGATAGAAAAACTCATCAAGTATCAAAGACACCCTACCATCCCTCTAACGGAGTAAACACAGCCAGCACGCCATCCTTGGGCGATACCGTAGCCCCCTCTCGAAGCTCCAGCGGGCGATCGGGATACTTCAACTCCATATGGAATCGACCAACGGTAGCCGCGACCAGACAAGCCAGCTCGGCCTTAGCAAAGCCCTGACCGATACAGCTGCGCGGACCGTGAATGAAAGTCAAGAATGCGTAGTTGCTGTTAGCACCGCCCGTGTTCGCCTTTCCCGGGCCCATGAATCGGTCCGGGTTGAACTTGTCCGCGTCTGGTCCCCATAGCTCCTCCATATGGTTCAAAACCTCGGGAGCGATGATGAGGGTCGTGCCCTTGGGTATGGCGTGGCCGACGAGAGACGTATCCTTGACTGCGGTGCGGATCGTGCCGGGGACGGATGGGTGGAAGCGGAGGATTTCGTTGCAGACGGCGTGGAGATAGGGGAGGTTGTCGATCGTGATAGCATCAATGTTACCAGCCTCATCGGAGGATATCGAGGGGAGGTTCGCGCGGATCTCCTCGCGCAGCTTAATCTGTACGTCCGGGTTTTTGCATAGTGCGTAAACGGCCCATTGCAGCGCTGTGGCAGTGGTTTCGTGGCCCGCTCCGAGGAACGTCATTAATTGATCGACCAAGTTCTCTTCGTCCATGACGCCGCTATGCATTGCGACAGAGATAATGTCGATACCCGTCTGCGAGCTGGAATTCTTCATTTTCTCCTTCTTCTGCCGGATCATCTGTCGAGCAACGTCGCGGATCACTTGGCCGCCCTCGTCTATGCGTTTATTGCGTTGCGTCGGCATCTTCTGGAGGAGAGTGACATCTCCCATTAGAATTCCGATGATGAACAGAATCTTGGTGCCGATGCCGGGCGACTGGAAGATCTGTTGGTATGATCGATTGAGTTTATTGGAGGGGTCGCTCAATGAGTCGAAGTCGTGGTCCATGCCTGCCACCCCGATAATGTCCAGCGTAGCGCGGCTTGCCCAGTTGCGGACAGTGATGGTGTTGTCTTTATCTCCGGAGGCTTGTCGCCGTTCCAGATCCTGCTGGATTAGCTTGACCATTTCAACACTCTTGGACCAGAAGATTGGATATAGTTCTTTGATGTGGCGATATGCGAATGCAGGCATCAAGTTCTTGCGTTGAATCTGTTCCATATTCTGTTAGGATAAGACGCGATATGGTTCGTCATGCTCGTAAACCTTACCTTGTGTTCATCGCCCTCGGCCAGCAGGATACCATCTCCAACGATACGGCGCAAGCTTTGTCGCACCGTCTTGGGCTTTTCAAAGTCATACACCTTTGTCACTAGCAGTTCACTAAGTGCCTTGGGGCTGGTGAGAACAACTCGTTCTATGTTCCCGACGATATAGAATCGGATGAGGCCATCATTTGGCAGTTTCGCCGCCCATTCTTGCATTCGCTTGAAAGGAGTCTCGAGAAAGATCGTCTCGGTGTTACCCCTCAGCCAGGTTCGGCCCTAAGATTGTTAGCAAAAGAAATGTACCGTCAGAAGTGCGTTTGGCTTATGTACCGGCGGTGCCCGAATATGCTTGATCGGGGTGAAAAATGCAGGATATAACGCGAGCTGATAGAGTATTTTCCATGCGGTGAGGATCGCGAATGATAGAATCATCGTCCCAGCTCTTGACCCGAAGATGGCATATTCTGGCCGGAAGTAGATGGCAGCAGCCACGCCCAGGTAGAGCACACTGAGATTATCGTTGATGACACCCATTTTGAAGGGTCGGGAGAATCCTCAATCTCTTCTCGAACGATGCCAAACAGGATCGAGAGGGGGGCCAAATTTGGCAAATGTGAATACGAATCCACCCGTCTCACTCGGGTATCTTGAGACTGAGAATACCGTCGATGTCGCTTGATGAACAATCTCGGGCCTTGGGAGTTCTTTTATAATATGTGTGGAATCGTAATGGGACGCCTATTTTGTACGGCCTCGTATGTTGTGGCGCCCTGGTTGGAATGATGGATGTGAGAATCTGACAGGCGCAGGGTGGCTGCGATCAGAGAGACCCGGACACGTTGCGTTGCCGGGCGTTGACGAAGTCGAGTGCGACCACCACTTTATGAATATCTTATTCTGAACATACGAGCTGGCGACCAGGCACCGATATTTAAATGTATCGAACGGCCTGATCCCAGGCCCCCAAAATAATCCTTATCGAGAAGGCACTAAGCTCGTTCTCGCCCTCGCAAGTGATACCCGATTCGACGATGCGGGTCCGGTTGGATGCTTCGTAGCCAACTGAATCGCTCGAGTTGTTAGTTAACACTAACAGCCTGACTAAGTCCTCGAGCACGGAGAAATAGAAGATCCCTTGTTCTAGCATCTGCGACGAATATGATACCCGATTAGGGGTATGCTCACGAGCCGCCAAAAGAGGGATCGTCTTGACTGGTAAATTGGTCCGAACTCCGGTCCGACTAGTTTCTAGCCCGAGGCCGTCGTTCAACAAGCTGCAAAAAGCTTGTCGCATTCTACAAAGTTGAACATCAATAATCGATATGCTATTAGTTATGATATTACTATCACACAACAACAAATTGAGCAGTATCATCCATCTCATGTGGCCAAGCTCTCCAACCCCGTCACCCTCTTAAACTCGGTCATGGTATGCTGCCACAATCGCGCCACCATCCCCTCCCCACGCATCTTCGCCAATACCTGCAACGATTGAGCCCCGGCACTCTCCCCGTCCCAATTAACCGCATAAACCCCACTACCAACGTCCCCACACGTACCCCCAGAGACGACCACATTGCCAGACACCGGCACACCGACCGCCGCACTCCCCGACCGCGGCGGATACCTCGCGCTCGTGGCAAAGAACAAATGCCGTTCCCCAGATTCCCGAAGCGGGATGTACACCAACGGTCCCACGACTTTGAAAATCGTAATCGCAATCTTCATCAAGACGCTATTGGTTTCTCGGCCAAACCCTGATTTCACGGGGCCCGGGTAGTCGTGCACGAAGCTGACTTCGGGAGCGAGCGAGGCCATGTGTTCGAGCATGAGGTCTATCATGGAGACGTTGTGGCCTCGTACGTGGCGAAGGGGCACGTTTCGGCCTTGAAAGTCGTCGGCGTAGATGGGGCCTTCGTGGCCGGCGGCAAGGACGGTGACGACTCTTCGTAGACTGGGGGCTTGACGGAGCAGAGGGAGGAGATTGAGGATGAAGCGTGCTCGGGCGTAGTATGCGAGGGCCATGAAGATGTGGAGGCCTTCACTGGTGTCTGGATACGGCCGGAGAACAAAATGTTAACACCGTAGCTGCTGATAATGCAGAAATGTGATGCTGGAGATGTAGATACGTACCAAGGTGGGAAAGTGCCGAGCCACAGGTCAAGAATAGCAAATTAATGCATTTCTCCTTGCTCGCGATCTCACGACACACCTCGTCGACGGAGTTCAGCAGACTCACGTCCGCCTTGATGAAGATGAACTCGCCCTCGGGGTTCAACTCGTGACAGTCGGCGGCAATTCGATCGCCGGCTTCTTGTGAGCGGCCAACAAAGTAGACCCGGGGTTGGCGCGCATGGCGTGCGAATTCTCTCAATGAAGTCTCGCCAATGCCATTCGTTGCGCCGACGAAGACTGCGACTAAACCCGGTGGAAGGGCGGTCGCGATTTGTGCATTCGAGGATTGGACGTCGGCTAGAGTGACCATTGTGAAGTGATTGAGTGTGCAAGATGATCATCAAGGGCCCTTGGGCTATGGTTTGGCATCTTTATATTCTGTCATTTTTTGAGCCACATTCCATACTCTGGGGAAAGTGGATGTGGTTCTCGGGCGGAATGACGTGAATGCCGGTCGGGCTTGGACCCTTCAACCATGTCTCCTCTCGTATTTCGGTTTGATAGATGCACCGAGTCACCGATCAACCCAAGATTGCTATCGCCCAGACGGGCAATCGTTGCTTGGGGAGGAGCTGTCTGATGGAATAGACCAGCTCTTGTGGAATGAAGGTTCAATAAGGAGATGACAACTGGTTAAGGCCAGGGCTTGCAACACCTACCATGGGACCTTCCAATAGACCTTCCAAATGACCTTCGAAAAGTTATTGCGGAAGCCCATACAAAGCCGAACACACACAGCCACTGGCAACCCCAAAGCGCTCACTCTTTTGTCTTTTGGCCGTCTTCCATTCAAGTAATCTTGCCGATGGAGCGAAATAAATTCGACCGGTAAAGTAGCTGCTGGCCTTTCCGGATATGCCCCTTACGACGGATATGCCCCTTACGATCGCTCCTCGTATGCGGGTGCTCGACATCGTAACATCGTGCATGATCATTCGTGTTCATCTCTAAGATGCTCAATCTAGAGGCTAACAGGTAACGTCCCTACATCTTCTCCTGTCGCTTCTTCAAGTAAACACCACCACCGCGACTACTAAAGCCCCATCGGATCTGGTTGGCCATGGAGATCTCAACATCCAATTCCTCTGCCCACGTCCATACCAGACCGGGATTTTTCTGGAACCCGCGCCCGACCAGCACAAAGTCCAGATCGTTATGTTCCAACAGGCAATTCGCCAAATGGCCGTCATTGATCATGCCGACCGTGCCAACCTTCAGCTTATCTCCAACCGCCTTCTTCACCTCAATGGCAAAGGGCGCCTGGAATGCGGCCTTGGCATGGATGTGCTGCTTCTGGTGGTTGCCTCCGCTGCTGATATCTAGGACATCGACATTGCCGCTCTCGGCGAGCACTTTTGCGAACCGCACGGTGTCTTCAACGCGCCAGCTGGGTTGATCCGGCATAGATTCTTCCAACCAATCGGTCGCGGACACGCGCAAGAAAATGGGCATGTCCTTGGGTACATTGTCGCGAGTCAACTGGGCGAGTTCCAGCGACAGCCGAATTCGATTCTCGAAGCTGCCACCGTACTGATCGGTACGATCGTTCGTCGCGGGGGACAGGAAGCTCATAAGCAGGTATCCGTGGGCATTGTGAATCTCCACAAAATCCACACCGGCCTTGACAGCGCGTTTGACGGCCGATACCCAATCTTTCTTGAACTGTTCGATCTCGGCCGCAGTCATCGCCTTGGGCGTGGGGAACTTGTCGTGGAATGGCGTGTTGGTGGGTCCCTTGACGTTGTCGGGCCATCCGCCAACCTTCTCGGTCGCCATGTCCGCCATGCTAAGCCATGGCGCGACGGTGCTGGCTTTTCGGCCTGCATGGGCGAGTTGGACGCCAATAATTTGACTCTGGCTGTGCACAAACTCGACGACCCGGCGGAGGGGCTCGATCTGCGAGTCCTTCCAGAGACCGTGGTCTTGAGGGGTGATGCGACCATTTGCTTGCACGGCCGTTGCTTCTACCATGAGGAAGCCGGGTCCGCGCTGGGCGATACCGCCCAAATGAGCCATATGCCAGTCCGTCATGTGTCCATCGTCGGCACTGTATTGACAGAGTGGAGAGAGCTATTGGCATTTTAAATTAACATGTCATGGAAGTCAAGGTATATGCTAGACATGTAAGAGCTTACGCCAATCCGATTGTGAAAGGTCAGGCCTCGCACTTTGAAGGGCTGGAAGAGCTTGGGAGGTGATGCGTCGGGGTTCGCGGTTCCCGCCGGAGGTTCCTGGGCAGGAGTAAAGTAGGAGATGCCCTTGGCTGGTTTGTTCTCGATATCTGGAGGGGCCATAACTGCGATAGAGGATGTGGAGAGTATAGAGACTGGATTGTAGGTGGAAGAAAATGGATTTGGAAGATATTATTGGTGTCGATGGTCAACCCAGGTAGATAACGAGCAATTGCCTGTATGCTTTGAGCATACAACTTGTGAGAATTTTGGGTTGCATTGACTCTAACTTGCGGTACCTTCAAGCACATTTATACCCAACAGGATACTCCAGTGTAACTCCACCGGCTTATAAATGCAGCAGCCAGTGTCCATCTGGGTTTCCCGGATCGCAGCTTGCCACTACGACTCGACGTCACCATTGATGGTCGCGAGGGCCAATTAGCCGGCCCTGCGGAGCGAGGGTCCGAGAACGTGGTAATATTTGTAAGGGGCCGGTTAATGACTATTATCGGGGACATTTGCTTCGACCAGCTCATCTCATCATCCGTTGCATCCGAGGTTGATTTTCGGTTGGCAGGAGGTACTCTGCGGGGAGAAAGAGGTAAGCCTACAGGGCTCAGCATGGGGAGCTCACGAGGGAGCCTTGGGTTTTGTCAATCACTCTACGGATTTTTGGAGCAATTAGGTAATTAGTGTCTTCAATTGAATAAGCAACTCAATTGAGATGTCAGTATTCTTATCGCTAATAATTGTCTCGAGACTGTTCATTGGGAGTCTTGCCGGACAGGGCTACTCCACGCTGACGTTGTATACTTTCTAGACCCACTCTTGCGACCGGGCCGCTAACATTTTCCTCTAACAGTCTCTCCGTAGCAGACTAATCATATTCTACGCCAAGTGATAATGATCAATGACTGACCATTAAAGTTTGAGTTTGCCGTGTATGTCCCGGCCCGTCAATAATAGCTTCATGCCACGCAGTTCCTAACCAATTTACCTTCTCCCCGTGCTGAAAGGAACACCACGGACTGGAAAGAAGAGCTCTGGAGGCCTTAGGTAATACAAAGGCTGAGGAGGCAGCTTGACGGGTAAGACCAGAAAATGTATCCCGTCTCTGACCAGTATAGTCGACTCATAGAGAGGAAGCGCCCTCTTCGGCGCTTAGAGCCAGGAACGCGAAATCACGCACTGACAGTCTGCCCATCGGTTAAGAGCCCCGAGGGGATTGCCCGTATGATTCGTTTCATAGATGCAAAAAGTGGGACGGTGGAGAAGGGGAGCCCCGACGCTCGTTCCAAGTAGGAAGTATAGAGAACCAGTACTCGTTGAAAATGGAAGCCTGATGAGACGACATTGCCGTAGGCGCCAATATTTGCAGGAGGCAGTCGTCTCATGACCAAAATAGTAGCAGGAGGACGTCAGTGCTAACAAAAAAAAAATCAAAGAAAGAAATGGGCCAGAGGCAGCAAAGGACGACGATTCAGCCCTAAAAGAGTTGGTTCCTTGTCCCGCGTTGGCACTCTCCACACTCCGGCAGCACGTTTCATCTTTCCCTTTTCCCCCTCCCCTTTCAACCCGTCAAGATCCATAATATTTCTGCCTTTGCCATTCATTCTCTTAAACCATACATTGTTCAGTCTTTACTGCTGGGCCCTCGAGGTGCCTTTCACTCATTCATCTCCAGCCTCCTTTACGCACCTAGCATTCTTTCTCCGCAATCCGATCGTCAGCTCTCATCCAATCCACCCCCTTTCTTGGCGCTCAGACAACCAAAAGATCAACCCTCGCGCGCTTGGCATTGCGATCGATACCCATGATCTGCTTGCACATTCGTGCATGATCAGTCGTGACGAATAACGCTGGATGCCAGTCTGAAACACCATCGCCGCCCTTTGTTGTCTCGTCGTGCGCTTGTCACGGTTGCCCCTGTCGGTCTTACGCCTGGCCCCCTCGATCTTTCTGCCAGCCTCCTCCCAAAGCCTCTCATAGTTATGCGCCAGTCACGAGATTGAGACATCTTCCAACCTAGACCACTCTTTTACACCTGCTGTGTCGCGCTCGCTCTCTGACACCACTGCCTGACTCGTCAAACCTGATCGTGACTTTACCCGGCTGGCCCGTGGAAGTCTACACTCGTCGCTCGACTCGTACACTCGTTCAATCGCTCGCCATCGCTACCTGGCAGGTCCGGGATCACCGTCAAAATGGGGTGCTGTGGTGATCGCGAAAAGGGCGCAGCCTCGATGGAAGAGAAGTGGGATTATGTGGTGCGTATAGGAGTTGATGCGACCAGGGCGGTTCATACTAATGATGGCTTTATAGAACCTCGATGATTTCAAATCCGACTCCTGCTGGACTCCCGTCTCCTATTTCTTCCTCTGGGTATTCATGTTTGTCTCGTTCGCCGTTTATGGCGTCGATACCTTCACCGCTGTCAATCTGCTAGCCTTCTCTCGCTGGAGTGGCCGTGTCGAACCCGCTATTCCATTCAAAATCTCTCGGTGGATTTTTGCCGTCTGCATTCTCGTGTCGTTCGCTCTCTTAATCTTTCGATGGATGTTTGCTATCCGTGCGATGCGTTCCGGCAGCATCACGCGGAGCTACCTCGACCCTCTTGCGGTTCGCGTCCAGTGTTTCCGAGTGTTCACCAAGGGAGGTCGTGGATGGAAGCGCTTCCTTGTCTTTGCAGAATTGACCAAGAGTAAGAAGGGAGCCGAGTATGTCGCCCTTTACGCATACTTCTCCTTCCAGTCCTGGATGAACACCATCTTCGCTGATGGGCCGCGCCAGGTCCTCAATGCCATTACGCTATGGTCTGTCATGCAGGCCGACCTGATTCCAGGTGGTAAGAATGCGGCGAAAGACAATGGAACCTCGGACATTCTGCAATTCTTCAACAACGTGAAAATTCTTGCAGAGGAAAATAATCTCCAAGCCGTGGTTCTGTTCGGTATGCTGTTTACTCTGGTGATCTGGGTTCTATCGGTCCTGAAACTGGCATCAGCCGTTATTCTTTACTTGATCTTCTTGTTCCATCACATTCCTTCCACGGATGGAACCCTCAAAGCCTATTGCCGTCGCAAGATTAGCACCCGGTTGACGCGCATCGTTCGGAAGAAGGTCAACAAGGCTTTGGCGAGTGGCTTTAAGCTACAGGATCGCGCACCGACACAACCCAATGTGGCAGGCGGGGATATCAAACCTACCTTGCCGTCCTTGCCTAATCTCGAGTCGGATAAGACGCCGGCTGTGACGACCCTATCGCGTAGTACCACGCAGACGACTTTGCCTCCTTACACGCTGTCAAACTCGACTGCCACTGAGAAAAATCCAACTTTGCCCAGCCTGGACTTTGATAGCAAGCCTCCACTCACTCGGGCAATGACTCAGTCATCTGTCATGTCCGAATCGGAGTCGTTGACGGGTAATGCGGCAGCGATGGGATACAGTCCACTGGATCGCCAACACACCCCGCTGCCTCCTGTTCCACCTCTGCCGACAAGTATGCCAAACATGCCTCCCTCAAGGACCAACACGGCTCAGTCGAGACGTACTCCTGCCCCACAGCCGTTCGCCAATGACGTTAGCCGGAATAGCCCGGGACCTGGAATGCGCAACTTGACCGAGTCTGGTGCTCAACCATACCGTCCATTCAGCCCTGCTATTGATTCCTATGCTCGGTCGCACACGCCCGGTGCGGCTGTTATAGATGACTACTTTGACCGTTCACACACTCCAGGTGCTCAGGCCGCTTCTTATGATCCTTATGGACCACCTGCGGGTTACTATGGTGCTCCTCCCGAGGAGGAATATGATGATGGATTCAGCGCTAGAGCTCCTTACAATCAGGGGGCGCCCCCTCGCCCAAAGGAACATTATTCGTCCCATGATGGATACCAAGATAGGTCCTATACGCCGGCGAGCACAGGGGCGATGCCCCGTCCTCCGCCTGGGCGTTCAATGACACCCGCTAGCACCAGTGCAACATCGCACCCTCCCGGCCGGTCAATGACATCCGCAAGCTATCGAAACACACCTGGTTCTCAAACAGATGGACAAATGCAGGGCGCTCAACGATCCTACACATCTTTCAGTCCCGAAAGTCCGGCCGACTCTCCATCCGGCTACACAGCATTCACTCCCAACGCTAGCAGCGCCAATGCAAACAACGCTCCAATGCCCTCCCAAACACCACAACCTCGTCTGCAAAGAATCCAGGGCCCATCTGGGTACCAACCCTTCGCACGAGCCAACACCGCATCTCCCTCAACCATGAACCGAGCCGGCCCTCCTGCAGGATATGGTTTCAACCGTTCAAATACCAATCAATATTGATACTCTATCTTCAAAGAGCTCTCAAAGTGATTGGATTTCCTTCTTTTTTCTCAAGATTTATCTCGAACCTTCTTATGACCGTCTGCAGAAGAGCTGGCTTCTTCTCTTACCATAATGACCGGATGTTTCAAACGAAGCTCAGGTCATTGATACCCTCCTTTTATTAACAGCGAGCAAGTCTCTTGAATTGAAAGCTGAAACGTTGTACATACCCCCTCCATAACATACCCCCGTTCTGTTTAGCCTGGCCGTCTGTGCCAGAATTGATTTCTTTGGATTACACGAATTGAACATTTAAAAATACCTAAGATCATTCCTGGAGTGAAGTAATAAGAATGAAAGATTTAGGACGTAACTTCTCTTTAAATTGTATCGAACGCGGCATTGTACCTCGAAGTGTGGACTGAAGTGTTTTCACTGTGCTCTCCATCGTCTACTGGTTGTATGCATCGTGATGATCAACATGGCTGCCTCAGGCCAAATTAACGGTTGTCACTGACTTGCCAGATAATCTCTCTTATCTTCCCCGGCTTCAGCTCACCTTGACCAGATGCATGATCGCCATGCCCCTGATTTCAACCGTCACCTCTGGCCAAAATGAGTATCTAGCTTAGCGCAAAGACTGCTCATTGATTCTACAGGCCCGCCTTTAATTCCAGCGCCCCCTTCACCGCTTCTTCGTTCTAGCACCATAACGTGACCACCTCCTGCGCGGTCCTTGAAGCCGAAAGCAGACCTGAAGAATGCGAACGATAGCTACTCTTTGTGTGGGAGTAAGCACGACGATCTGAGTATCTGGAACTCTAGGGAGGATATTTTTGGGATAGACTGCTCTCGGAGAAGCTGTGAAGATGAGCCCTGCGGTGGAGTTTAGCAGCGCTACTCCGAGCCGGGAGTTGGAACTTAACGGCCATGGGAAAAGGGAGAACGGCGAAGCTGGTCCATCGTCGAACTTCGACGAGGAGGATTATGGAGGATCTGGTATCTTGACGCCCTCCGAGACGGATGCTAGCCAGGGTCCCACCGCCACACACAATCAAACAACCGATGCCGGAGAAGACAACGCGAATGGCGGTGGCGTGGAGGAACAAACTACGAATGGAGTTGATACAAATAGGCAGCACTCTGGGTCAAATGGACAAGGGCTTGGCATTGTTGTCCGGCTTTCGTCCGACGATGCAGAGACGAACGGCCGAACGACCCTTTTGGAGGGTTCCAAAGTGAAGGCCGCTCTGGCGGAGCTTGCCGAAGATGCGTCACGAAGACCTTCTGACGACAAAGAGAAGATTTTGAAATTGTCTCCCGATCAGATCCAGGAGTTGACATCCTCGCCCGAATCGATTCCCTACCGCACAGCAACCCCAGATACGAGCACTGGGCAAAGGGCTGATTTGGACCACTCGCATCCAAATGGAACGCTTCGTCCAGAAATTAGAGACTCTATTTTGCAATCGCTCAGTGAGGCACCCTCTTTAGACGATACCCTGAAAGCTCGGCATGCGAAAGTCCCAGTTATTGAAGAATTGTCTTTGCCTGCAAGCCCGGCACTTTCACAACCTAATATCAATGGCTCCGTCCGTAATCGGCCTCATACATCTCGAACGTTTTCGACTCCAGGGCTCACTCGGCACTCTATCCCATTGCCGAACAACGAACGACTTGCGCAAACATGGGCTTCGCGTTCTAAACAAGATCGGAATGCCCCTGATCGTGATCTTAAGAGCCACCTGGCGGCGTCTCCTCAGATCATTGAAAACCCCTTACCATCACCATTACCAGCTTCGATTCCCATACCCCCCGTCTCGATTCCGACCTATCTCCAGCTTGAGCTTGCATCTGGTCGCCCATCCCCGCTGTATATCCATCGACCAGCATCCAATGACTTTCCATATGAATCATCCAGCGCAAAGATCGAACGATTGATGAATTTCCTTATTCTTCCGGGGGCATTGGAACAGGTGCTGTGTTTTGGCTCACTTGCATGTCTTGATTCATGGCTCTACTCCTTCACCATTCTCCCTTTACGCTTCATAAAGGCCGTTTATATTCTCTTTGAATCTTGGGCGAAGAACCTGAATGTTGAGTTCTGGTTTATCTGGAAGTTTGTGGTCAATGGTGTCGGGCGAGTATGGCAAAGGAGAAAATTCCATGGGGAGAAACACGAGAATGAAACCGATTTGACACCTCGATTGGCCAACGGGTCTTCCACGGGGCAAGATGCGACAATGTCCGTGGATCGAGAATCTAGGCATCGAGAACCCGAGCTTTCGAAGAGAAGACAACGTGCCTCGGAATCTCGGCGACACCATCGGAGGAAGAAGTCAATCCCATCGACCCTGCTTCCAGATGACAAGGCAGACATCTTGACTGGTTTGCTCATGGTGGCAACTTGTTGGGCGTTGATGTATTTCGATGCCAGTCGAATGTATCACTGGATTCGTGGACAGGCCGCCATCAAGCTGTATGTCATTTACAACGTGCTGGAAGTATTGGATCGACTGTTGGCTGCTATCGGACAGGATGTCCTTGAATGCCTCTTCTCAAGGGAAGCTCTCGAGCGTCGTCCAGATGGGCGGAGCAAGATTCTACGTCCATTTGGATTGTTCTTGGCGGCACTCGTTTACACAGTGGCGCATGCAACGTCCCTTTTCTCTCAGGTTATGACTCTCAACGTGGCCGTGAACTCATATTCGAACGCACTCATGACACTTCTACTTTCCAACCAGTTTGTGGAGATCAAGTCAACCGTCTTCCGCAAGTTCGAGAAAGAAAATCTGTTCCAGCTCACGTGTGCGGACGTCGTGGAGCGGTTCCAACTGTGGCTGATGCTCACTATCATTGCCTCGCGCAACATCGTGGAGACGGGTGCTTTCAACTTCATCGGCGATCTCGGGCTAGGGTCTGGCTTTTCTAGCCAAGCTTCCACCAGCACCAACAGTACACCTTTGTCCACTCCTCCTCGAACCGCATCGTCAATCTTGCCTCAGTCATTTACCTTCTTCCCATCATCGATCCTGTCGTCGGTTAGCAGTGTCAACTCCTTCCTTCCAACGTTAGGCCAGGTACTAGGGCCGTTCTTGGTTGTTCTGGGATCCGAAATGTTGGTTGATTGGTTGAAGCATGCGTATATCAATAAGTTCAACAATTATCGACCCGCATTGTATGGTCGGTATCTCGATGTGCTTGCCAAGGATTACTACACCAATGCCTTTGGTGAGCAAAATCTGACACGCCGGCTTGGCCTTCCCGTCATTCCACTGTCATGCCTTTTCATCCGTGTGTCGGTGCAAACCTACCAGATGTTCCTGGCCTCTTTACTCCCGCAACACCCGTCCTCAACCGCGCTGAGGTCGACATCCTTGTCATCGATCCATAACCATTATGCGCCCGCACCGCTCCCGTCCACGCCGCCTTTGACCTTGAGCAATGTGATCCCCGTGTCTGTCGCCCACGTCAGTGCGTTCTTCAGTACACTGGTGGACAACGCTATGCCCTCGCCTGCGCAGTCCGTCCAGATCTTCACGGTTATCCTGTTATTGACAGCATACATTGTCTTGTTGATTCTCAAACTACTCCTGGGAATGAGCCTGCTTGCCTTCGCACGGTCCCGCTACAAGAAAATGAGAGGTCCCGAGAGCGAATCGCGGAAGGTTTCATCTGCACACCCACCCGCCAGTGAAAACACGGCTCGTAAGGACGAGTTCAACGTTGAAGGTAGTCGGCGCGCTGGTGGTTGGGGGATGGTCGAGGTTGGTGACGAAAAGCGACGTTGGATCTATGGTGATGATCCCGAGGGTCTGCGGCGCGTGAAGGAGAAGGAGGATAAGGATAAGAACAAGGATAAGGATCTGAAGATAGATCATGTTCAGCGATATGAGATGGTGGCGAAGAAGATCTGGTGATCTTCTTGCAGATTGTTATCTGTACTATTGTATATCCTAATGTGAAACTGTGACTTTACGGATGGAAGATACTTCTACGGGATATGCGTAGTGGATCTTCATTGGAATTCATGACATTACTAGGCTGTCGAGATCTGTTGGAGCCAACAAGCTCAGGCTTGCCCTTAGACGGGAGGAAACTGGATACTATTTGCAAGTAGTATCTAGGAATCATATTCTTGATCAAGAAAGTTTACCAAGCCGTGCGCATGTAGTGTGTGTAACCCGTTTCAGCGTCGTGTGAATCCCATCCGTGTCCACGTCTGAAAGTTTCAATAAGGGTCCAGTTGTCTTCTAGCGTGCCGTGATCCTCCAAGGTCTTCAGGAAGCGCTCGACCTACTCAGCTTCCTCTTCACGTCTTTGCGAACGGCTACTTCCAACGGCGATGAGGGCCCGTCCTTGGAGAGCAGAGGATCTACACCGGGATCAACGAGCTCCGTTGACGAAATCGATTGTACTATCGCCAAGAGTTTGAGGTAGAACGTGAAGAGGCAAGGCGATGAGGAGGTCGCAATCGGAACTTGGAAGAGGAAAAATACTTGTAAAGATTTAGTGTTCGAAGGTTGACGACTGCGCGGTTGGAAAGACAAAGCAGGAAAAAGGGACCTGAATGGGCACGAAAAGGGAGCCGTCATAATGACTTCGCCTCCGGTTCAAGACAAGTGGATGCAGTACGTCTATTCTTTCCAATTACCTCTCGCTGTCCATTTTGGTCAATAAGACCTTTCTCTCACATTAGGCAAGAAGAACTCGTACTGCCTGTGCCCAATATACCAGAATTTATCTTGACATTCGTTTCAGCGTCTAACGTCTATCTCCAAGATATCTATATACCAACATGCATCATGAAATATACGTGCTTCAAGTTCAATCCAGAAACTAGAAGTAGCCGGGGAACAGCCAGTCCAACTTCTTCTTAGCCTCGGGGCTCCAGTTTGTCTGGGGGGTGCTGACACCAAACTTGATGGAGCCAGCCAGGTGCTTGGCGTTGACCAAATCAGCGTGCTCATCAGCGGCCAGCGCATCGAGGACGGCAGTCACAAAGTGGCGGGCATTGGCCGCGTTGGACTTCATGTTGGCCATGACCATCTCGACGGTGACGTCGGCGGAGTCGTGCCAGCAGTCGTAGTCGGTGGACATGCAGATCATCTGGTAGGCGATCTCAGCCTCGCGGGCCAGCTTGGCCTCGGGGAGGACGGACATGTTAATCACGCTACCGCCCCAGGAGCGGTACATGTTGCTCTCGGCACGGGTGGAGAATTGAGGTCCCTCTATTGAGAAGAGAAATGAGATTGTCAGCGTAGTTCCGTGGTTGGAGTATCCCATTACCGCCGGCAGTTACGTACCCATGCAGATAATGGTGCCCTTGTCGTGCAGGACGACACCCTCACCCTCCAAGCTGTGTCCGCACTCCCGGACAACCTTGGCGATACCCTCATCGAAGGGATCACCGAAGGGAACGTGGGCGACAACGCCACCCTCGAAGTAGGTCCATGGGCGAACACCCTTGGTGCGGTCAATGATCTGATCGGGAATCACGAAGTCGCGGGGCTTGATAGCCTCCTGCAGACTGCCAACAGCAGAGAAAGCAATGATGCTACGGACACCGATCGAACGCAGAGCAGCAATGTTGGCGCGGGCGGGAACCTCGTGAGGGGCAATCTGGTGGTGGAGGCCGTGACGGCTCAGGAACGCGACGGCGACGGTCTTGTTGTTGTGCTTGCACTGGTGGTGGAGGATAGTGATCGGGGAGGAGGGCTCGCCCCAGGGGGTCGAGACGTTCAGCGAAGCAACCTGGGTGAATCCAGGAAGCTCGCGAAGGCCAGTGCCGCCGATGACAGCGATTGAGACGGGCCCTGAACGATTTGCGCCTGTCAGCTTTTGCCCGCATGGTGGGGGTGAGGGGTGACTTGAAAGTGGCCGTGTATGATCGGCTCTGGGGTGAAAACATACCATCGTAGGTGGAGGGAAGAGCAGTCATTCTGCGCGCTAATTGCTTCGCAGTCTCAATTCGTATGAATGGTTTGGATATGGAGGAAAGATGGCGAAAGCCGGCGAGCCAGCGCATCTTTTGACAAATTTCAGATCTTCTGCCCCGCTCCGATTGGGTCGCGGCCCCACGTGCCGTCGGGTTCCTGAGGCTACCCAGCTATTCCCGTTTAGGTCAAGAGGGGTGAACGCGATCTATATTACTGATGGCGAGGTTACATGATCAACGTAATCGTTAGGGAGAGGGGAAATTCAATATAATGCTATGAATCCAAGACTATACCTAGTTAAAGGGGCCAGAGAAGCCTGTTTCATGAGGTTAATTCTAGAAATTTTATACACAACTCGCTTGTCAACGACCATATTCCACTTTTATCCTATATTGGCATGAGCCCAGTGTTTATGCAGGCTTCCATTCGTAGTGATGAGGGCCCTTGTGAGTCGGTCCAGGGTCCTCTCCGTAAACACCCGGCTTATTGTAGCCATGTGCGCCAAAGTAATCCATCTGAGCCTCCATAAATTTGGTCGGAAGCATCGTACCACCGTCGTACTTGAGGTACTCCACAGTCGCCGACAGCGCTGGCATATATTGGTCGTACATTATACCCTCCAAGACGGTTGATTTCAAGGCTGCAAAGTTGCTGTGCAATTCTCGAGCCACTGCATCGATGCATTTCAGATTCATCACATGCTGGTTAGATGTCAACGGTGGCTGCAGGAGGTCCGCAATATACTCCGACTGGATAATACAACCTGCTCGCCAGATTTGCAGGCAATCGCCCATATTGATTGACCAGCCTTCATCCTTTGATGCTCGAGCAATGAGCTCCAGGCCCTGACAGAAGGATGACAGGAAGGTGCAGTACAAGGCTTTGCGGAGCTTTTCCACGACCGTCGCGCGATCTTTGATATTTTCCATGGTCCGTGGTGTGGGCATCTGAAGCCTTTTGGCAACTTCAATTCGCTCGGCACGGTTCCCACTCGTAATGCGCATGTAGTGTGCTGCTGCTAGAGTCGGGGTTGATACGTGTCGAGACGCAGATTCCATGACTGACCAGAGTGGTGTGCCTTCGCTGTTGTCGTCGTCTTGGACCACCTTGTCGAATACATCGTCCAGAACATATCCATTATTGTCACTAGCACCCTCGCCTTTCCAGTCACCCTTGGGTGTCTTTTTAGCTCTCACGATGTCGGCACCGATGCTGATCAGGAAGTTGTTCCGTAACTCGCCCTTGGAATTCCAGTCGGTGAATACATCGCCAATCTGCTCATAGTCCATACCGAGACCGAAATGCATGTACGACCAAGCCTCGGCAAGCGCGGAGAGCATGCCACCCTCGATTCCGTTGTGGACCATCTTGACGAAATGACCGGAACCACCAGGGCCGATGCGAGTGACACATGGTGCTCCCGTCTTGGGATCCTTGGCCGCATATGCCTGGAGAAGCGGCATGACAAGTTCTATAGCTTTAGCATCGCCACCAGGAGACAGACTGGGTCCACGTCGCGCTGACTGATAGCCTCCCGAAACACCCATTCCAATCCAAGTCACGCCGATATCTTCGCACTCTCTCTGGCGTCGCTCAGTCCGGCGATAATTCTCGTTTCCTCCATCGAGAATGATGTCACCCCTCTTCAGATCCGGCTTGATCAATTTCAACACCGAGTCTGCAGGGTGTCCATGGGTGATGGAGAACATGAACAGTTTGCCAATCCCATGACCTTCGAGGCTCTTGGTGAAGTCGTCGATCTCGGTGAATCCTTCAATCTTGCCTTTCATTGTCGTGGCTTTCTTGGTCCAGTCCATCACTTTATCAACGTTTCTCTTGTCCACATCCCACACGGAGACATCAAGTCCGAGCTCCGAGAAAGCGAATGCCATCATCGAGCCCATACTCCCGACTCCGACGATGCCGATACGCTTAAATCTCTCCGTTGGACTGGCGGACGGCATGATGATTGCTGGATAGATGAGCAGTGATCTGATCTACTGTCATGCGAAAAATATCACGAACGGTGTACAATATCTGCGAGAGAATTATGGATGGATTCGGGAGCAATGCTAGTTCTAATGCTCTTCAAGGCAGGGCCCTTAGCCACCGGACCCAAAGTCCGGGATATGCTGTCAATATGGGATCAGTGGCACTTAAAGTGACCGGTGACCCCTGCTCTAGAATTTAGAATCTAAATACTAGTTGCTTAAGGTAGTATTGAAACTGACTTACTGAAAGCATGTTTTTGGTAGAGCTGTCTGGAGCGGATGATGTCGAGTTGACGACAATTACCTGCGGCGGTGGAGACAAAAAAACATTGCATCATTCTATCTTCACCCTCCAAAGAGTAGCAAAGTCTCATTATTTCTCCGTGGCTACAATTGAATCGATACACTTTGGCAAATTTGTACATATTACATTGTAACATTGAACAGCGGGCTCCAAGATTCTCAAAACAATTGCCTAGAAAGCGCATATTATGGAATCGAAAGCATCCTCAACCCTCCAGCAAATCCCGCTCGCCTACGCCTCTTGCTCAATCGGCTGTGAGGCTAGCGACACATTACCACGACGACTCGAAGCAATTGGCAAAGCAGGATTCGCTGCTGTTGAGCTTTCATTTCCGGATATCCTGGCCTACGGCGAACAGCTACTCGGACACGAAATCCCACCCGATGACTACAATCAGCTGACCTCGGTCGCCAGAGAGATTCGCACTCTCTGCAAAGCCAGTCATTTGTCGGTTATGATGCTGCAACCATTCGCCAACTTTGAGGGGTGGCCGAAGGATTCGCCCGAGCGGAGGGATGCCTTTGAGAGGGCTGCAGGTTGGATTGAGATCATGAAGGCTGTTGGCACAGATATGCTACAAGTACATTGACTCTTCTCCTCAAAAGTCCACATCCAGTCAATTCTAATATTATAACAGGTCGGAGCGACCGATATACCAGCGCACAAAGTCTCCACAGATCGCTCAACGATCGTATCTGATCTTCGTGAACTGGGCGAAATGCTTGCGAAGCACAAGTTCCGCCTCGCCTACGAAAACTGGTGCTGGTCCACCCACGCGCCCGGATGGAAGGAAGTCTGGGAGATTGTGCGTGATGTCAATCTCCCCAACGTCGGTCTATGCCTAGACACGTTCCAAACCGCCGGTAGTGAATGGGGCGATCCGACCAGCTCCACCGGCTTGATCAACGACGTGCCCGAGGATGAACTGAGGAAGAAGTTCGCTGCCAGTATGGATGAATTGGCGCGTACTATCCCGGCAGATAAAATCTATCTCTTGCAGGTCTCGGATGCGTACAAGGTGTCACCGCCGTTGGAGGATAAGGTCGTTGACGGATTGAGACCAAGAGGTCAGTGGAGTCATGATTATAGGCCGATGCCATATGACGGCGGGTATTTGCCGATTGAAGACGTTGCCAAGGCAGTCTTGAAAACGGGCTTCCGGGGTTGGTTTTCAATGGAGATTTTCGATGCGGGGCCCCAGGGCAAGGGGAAGAAGTATGACATGGAAACGTTCGCGAAGAAGGCGATGGAAAATATGCAGAAGTTGTTGAAGAACTGTTCTACAGGTATTTGAGATTGCTCTTGTGACAGGGTTTGAGATAAATATTCAATTTCAAATGATATATAGATACACGTGCTTGTCCTTTTTAGAGCAAGGCTCAGGGAGTACAATCGTCACTCCGACACAAAAGTGAAACGCCAAAGGTGGAAATGCAAAAATAGACACCGGGTTATCATAAGGCATGCTAAATGAACAGTCAACATGGGAAGGTCATGCTTGAACCCTTCCTTAGTTGGCGTTGCTGGGGTAGGCAACGGTGTAGGTGGGGACAAACTCCTCCTTAACCGAGCGCAAGCTCACGAAGCGAGACAGGAGGTTGGCGCTACCAGCCTTGTCGTTGGTACCACTGGCACGGGCACCACCGAAGGGCTGCTGGCCAACGACGGCGCCAGTGCTCTTGCAGTTGATATAGAAGTTACCAGCGGCGTTGCGAAGGTGCTCATCAGCAACCTGCACAGCGTGGCGGTCCTGAGCGAAGACGGAGCCAGTCAGACCGTAGATGCCGGTGGTGTCGATCTTCTCACAGATCTTGACAAAATCAGCCTCGGTGGCGTCGTTGTACGAGTGGATGACAATGATGGGACCGAAGAGCTCGCGCGACAGAAGGGGGTGGTCGGGGTTGGAGGTACGGTACACAGTGGGCTGGATGTACCATCCCTTGGAGGAATCGTAGGAGCCACCAGCAAGCAGCTCAAGCTCGGGGTCATTCTTGGCCTCGTCGATAACACCGGCGAGTTTGTTGAAGGAGCCCTCGTGGATAACTGGGCCGCAGAAGTTGGTGAAATCAGAAGGCTCGCCAACCTTGATCTGCTTCACCTCCGCAACGACCTGGTTGACAAAGTCGTCGGCAATGGAGGCAGCAACGTAGGCGCGGGAAGTGGCACTGCACTTCTGGCCCTGGAACTCAAAGGCACCACGGACGGTCTGAACTGCGGCGTTACGCACATCGGCGGACTTGTGGACCAAGTGGAAGTTCTTGCCACCAGTCTCGCCAACGATGCGAGGATAGCTCCGGTACTTGCCCTCCGCCACACCCTGGGAGATCTTGCCATAGAGCATACGGAAGACATCAGTGCTACCAGTGAAGTGGAGAGCAGCGAATTCCTTGTGGTTGAGGACGGCGCTAGTGACCTCCTCAGCCTCACCGGGCACGAACTGAATAACGTCCTTGGGGAGGCCAGCCTCGAGAAGGATCTGGTGAACGAGCCAGTTGGAAGCAATTGCGGAAGGCGAGGGCTTCCAGAGGACGACGTTACCCATCAGAGCGGGCGCACCGGCCAAATTGCCACCGATAGCGGTGAAGTTAAAGGGGCTGATAGCGTAGACGAAACCCTCCAGAGGACGGTACTCGAGGCGGCTGAAACGATAGTTAGTAATTGAGATCTGTCCAGTCCAAGATTTAGAAAAAAGTTACTTACTTCCACACACCAGGGGCGTGGTGAACAGGTTGCTGAGCATAAAGCTCCTCGGCGTACTTCACACTGAAGCGCAAGAAGTCAATGAGCTCGGCAGCAGAGTCAATCTCAGCCTGCCAGGCATTCTTGCCCTGGCCGTGCATGGTCAGAGCCATGATATCGTAGCGGTACTTGGTTGAAATAAGGTCGGCAGCCTTGAGGAAGATGCTGGCACGCTCCGCGAAGGGCGTAGCAGCCCATGACTTGCGGGCCTCGAGGGCAGAGGCGATGGCGGCCTCGACATCGGCCTTGGAGGCGTTGGAATAGGTGGCGACGGGGGTGTGAGTAGCAGGGTTGCTCTGAGTGAAGGTTTGGGAGTTCTTGATCTATTCGGTGTTAATGAATGACGGATTATAAACAGTCAGAGCAATATTGCGATTTACCTCCTTGCCTGCGACGACCAAAGGCACGTCCAAGGGCGCAGACTGCTTGTATGAAGCCAAGGCGTCTTCCAAGCCCTTGCGATCCGGGCTACCGGGGGCATAGTGTTTCTAAAACATCATCATTATAAGTAAGATGCAGACCATTGTAGTAGAATGGATAGGCGACTCACGTTAGGCTCGTTGTTGATCTGAGGCACCTTGAAAGTCGCATAAGTGTTGAGAGCGCGAGAGCCGGAGCTAGGCATGCGGCATGCCAGGCGCGAGAAAGGCTGCACACGAGTGCGTAGCAAAGAGGTCTGCATATTGAAGATCAATGTGAAGCTGATATTCAGTTGGCAGGATCTCGATCAACTTTCCGAAAAATCAAGTCGAAGGCTTGCACAAGAATATAAGAGGAAACATTCAAGAACGCGGGGAGACCGCCAGAAGAAAGGGCAGTTGGATACCGGGACTGATCCCGCCCGGCCACCGCAGCGAGCTTCGAGGGTCCTGCAGCGAATGATCATGAGTAGAGGCAGAAAGGGATCCACCGGGATGCTGTCGGCTTCGGCCGATTAGATAAAGCTCCACCGAGTATCGTTATAACGAGGTATAATTCTCATAAGATGCCATGACATAAAGTAGCTCGCGCCCGCTCAGTCACGGGCCGGACCCGGATCAGTCAGAGTATCTCGATTATACGATATTGTCGAGAGCCCCGCTGTTCCATCCATCGATAACCACCGCCCGTAGTTTCTTCAGCCCCACATGCACCGGCCCGGGTGAATGCTTTGCTTTGCAATTAACAACTTTTTTCTTCCCCATCGAAACCAAAGTCAAGTGACCGACTACTCCGGAATCCGGACTTGACAAATCTCTTGCTGTGGGATACAATTTTACCCCCCCCCCTTACGGTCGACACCCCCAGATATCACACTAGCCAGATTCGGACGAGTATCGACAGGATTTCTGAATTGGAAAGGCCGTCAAGTTGGCTCGTTTTCGGCTTCCTATCTTCGTCTCAAGCAGAAGGAGCAACGCCTCCATCTAGGCCTTCAGGGAATAAACCCATTATCAATGCAATCAAAATAAAAGATATTCATTCATTTTAGAATGAGTATAAGCCCAGGGGGAATTCTAGCGGACACGAACGTCTAGAATCCGATAGCGCAACCATTTACTTGTATATTCACGAAGACGCTTGCTATCTGCGCAAAAAGAAATCCCCTCTAATCCCGCTCACAAAAGTTCCACAAGTAATGCATATGAACAGTGCGGAGAAGCTCGTCTTGCGATCGCGACAACAATCACAAATTGGCTATATTTGGGTGATTATCAGGGAACGCGAATCTACGTTGATATCGTGGTGAGTACTTGTGGGGACTTGGGGGAACGATAAGGAGATCTGGGGTAGGAATTTCTGGGACTATCGTTTCGAAAGTCTTCCTGTCAGGCGGGGCTGGTTTCTAGGAATTGCAATTCTGTCGGACTAAACTGATTTTTGTTAGTTATAAGTGTCGAGTCCAGCTCACGATATTCTGTGTTGGTGTTGACCTTTACTTGGAAGTACCTCGATAGGAGTCGTGCAAGAGCACGGTGATGCTGTCAGTGAAGGCGGTATCTATCGCTTTTCTCAATTAGCATTATAAGTTGAGATGGCCCGCAATGGGGCGAATGTTTGTAGAATGACCCATTTTTTCTGTATGGAATGTGGATAGGACTGTAGTAGATGAAGTAACTGTCTGCTTGTTCGTCAAACTAAAGATGGGCCTTCTATGTAGGTGGCTCGACACACTAGGTGCAGCCGCAGATTCAATCTTACCGCCATATAGCATGGATGCTGGTCTATACTAATTACCGGGTGATCACTAAAGTAGACTCACATTATGTCCAACCATGCTAGAGGGCTGATGCACTCTGAAATGATCTCCGCTGACATACAGTGCAGCTCGACCGATTGCTCGGTCGATCGTTCAGCTTGGGTTTCACCGCCTGTCAGTGTTCATTGAGATTTGATAATTGGACATTCAAAACGCTTCATCAAACACTGTCTCGGGTACGGGGCTAGGAAGTAACAGCTTCACGGCCAAGGCCAAATGCATAATTACACTTGGGAGCTCAATACGATCAGTCCCATTTCGACTTTTACTGAATGCCCAAAGAGCTTGTCAAATGACGCTAGAAAAGCCGTTGAAGATATATAATATTTTACAGGGACCTCGTGAGGCACTTGCGAACTATAGTGGACAACTACCAGAAATGGCTTTGCCTCAGTTCGATCTTGTGGGAGTATATCCACAGCACCACGATGCTCGCGACGTGAATTATGGGCATCTTGTTCTTGTTGTATCAGGATCTACTCTATAGTGACGCGGAAATCATATCCTCATCTCGAAATTGAACCCCAAGCCGAGCTGCACATGCCCGCTCCACACGTCAAATGGTACGGATGACAAACGCTTTCGGGCTAAAAATTAAGGCACCGCTAGTGAATGGATTTGATCCGGTGGGTACCATTGTGGATTCCAGGCAGACCGGCTACCGACGAAACATCGGTTGGGCCGTATTGAGTCCGGGCGATTTTCTTGAATCGTAGTACAAGGCATTCATGCTTCTTGTTTTTCTCTGTTGATCATCATGGCCAAGCCCAATAATTCATGCACCATTCAAGACAATTCAAGGTCTCGTGACCTATAAAGATGAACATCACGTGATATATTCGGTCGGCTAGGGACGGCGGGTCCCAATGCTTCTTTCCTTCTTCCAGACGCCCGGCTCTGGTGCCGGTCACCTTCGGCCCGGAGTAAGTGGTCGCGGCGACACAGGCGGTTTTCATTATGTATCGCTGGCCACCTGATCAAGTGGGATGGAGGGGTATGTAAGCTATATAGGACGGTGGCCATTTAAGATTCGTCCATGATAAGAGTCTCCCAGTCGCCCCTGCTTCTTTCAATTTACTAAGAGCCTCGTCTTCCAATCAACTTTCTTTCTATACCTCATTTACCTGTAACACCCACGCACTATCACAACCTATTATCACCAACTCAACTTATCAAATATGAAGGCCGCACGCGCCGTGCGGATCGCCCAGGGCACTGCTACCAAGGCCAACACGCGTCTGGTGAGCGGTACCAGCAACGCCAAATCTTCTGTTGCTGCCAGCGCCTTGCTTCACCCGACATCGTCATCTTTCACCGCTTCGCCACCTCGGAAGGCACTCAATGCACCTCTCTCCAAACTTCCTCTCTCGTCGGTTCTGCGGTCTTTGTTGATCCTCTCCGTCTCATCTTCGTCTCTCCTCCTCAAGCCATGCATCTTTGCTCTCTCTCGCCTGGCCCACCCTCGCTCAGCTCTTTGGGATGTATCCAAAAACCCGCTTCTGAATGTGCTTGTGAAGCACACTATTTACAAGCAATTTAATGCGGGTGAGAACAAGGCCGAGGTGCAAAAGTCAATCGAGAATATCAAGTCTCTGGGATGCCGTGGTGTGCTTTTGGGTTATGCCCGTGAGGTTCTGGTCGGCGAGAACCAGGAGGCGACCCGTGACGAGAAGGCCGCTCTCGCGGAAATCCAGATGTGGCTGGATGGTACTCTCCGCACCGTTGATATGGCCCAAGAGGGGGACTTTGTTGCTCTGAAGTTCACCGGAATGGGCACTGATGTCCTCAATCTGCTGCAGAAGCAGGCCGCTCCCACCGAGTTCATGGATGCCTCGATCCGGAAGGTCTGCGACTTGGCTATCTCTCGCCGTGTGCGTCTGCTCGTCGATGCCGAGGAGCAGGCCGTGCAGCACGGTATCGAGGCTTGGATCATGAAGTACCAGAAGTACTGCAATTCACAGACTCCCGGTCGTGCTATCTTCTACGGTACCTACCAGGCCTACCTCCGCTCGACTGGCGAGACTCTGGCCCGTCACCTGGAGACTGCCCGTCAGGAGGGATATACTCTGGGTGTGAAGCTTGTTCGTGGTGCTTACATGAAGACCGAACCTCGTCACTTGATTTGGGCCAAGAAGGAGGATACCGACCGCTGCTACGACGAGGTTGTCGAGGCTCTCCTGACTCGCAAATACAACTCTATGTTGCAGCGTCCCTCAAAGGATACCCCGGCTGAGCTGCCCCCAGTGAACGTCATCATCGCCACCCACAACCGTGAATCCGTGCGTAAGGCCCATGCCATCCGGGTCCAGCAGGCTGCCAACGGTGAGGACTACGGTGTCGATCTCAGCTACGCTCAGCTCCAGGGTATGGCGGACGAGGTTAGCCTCGAGCTCCTCCAGGGCTTTGAGAGTGCCGAGGCCGACGTGGGCATGACTCCCGCCGCCGCTCCCAATGTCTTCAAGCTCCTGACCTGGGGATCCGTCCAAGAATGCATGGGTTTCTTGCTGCGCCGTGCTGTTGAGAATACCGAGGCTGTTGGCCGTACCAAGGACTCTCAGATCGCCATGATCGATGAGTTGAAGCGCCGCTGCCGTAACATTTTCGGTGGCAGCAACTAAGCTAGCATTGGTCTGCTCACATCCTGACGAAGCTGTTTACGGTCACCTTTTCGTTTTGTTTTGAAAAAAGATTCCCCATGCTTGTTTTGTCCCTCATTCGTGGGCCTGTTTAGTCCACGCGGGGACAGCTTTCTGCATTGCGTTTATTGGGGATGCATTTTAGTGGCGTTAGCGTTGGATAAATCATGATTTTGCTATTGATAGCGATAAGTTCCAAGAATAGATGACTATCTCTCTTACTTAATTTCCCACTGGCTCGATGTAGACCGTACTGGTATCACTTGCCGTCTGCGCATGGGGATATTCGATTACCTTCTCGTAAAAGCTGCACCGGCTGGTGGACTCCACTCGACCCCTCGCCGGTGCGGTTATCGGAGGGCCCTTCCGACCTTCTTCCCTGTTAATATGTACAACTCACCTCGCTCATTCTCCGATTTATCTATCTACTCCAACGCATTGATACCAAATAACATTTCAGTTTCGTTTGGGCAAGTGTTTCCAACAGAGTGCAAGCAAAATGCATATTCTCTCCGAGCCCGACGTGGCCAAGATCTTCCGCAGCTTGACCCAGTCGCAATGCCATGAATTCATCCGAGCACTGGGCGACGCTTTGGTTGCCATATCTGCCGAGTCCAAACCAAATGTACCTGCATCCGAGAAACTCATCCATCAGCCACTTCGCACAGTCTTCGCCACAAAGGCAGACAACTCATGCATCTTCATGCCAGTGTCAGACACGGTCACTACGGGTGTGAAAGTAGTGACCGTTGCCAAGGGTGGCATCCAAGGTGTCATTAACATCTTCTCCCCCGATGGACGTCTGCAGGGCCTCCTAGCAGCCGCAGAGGTGACGGCGTTTCGAACAGCGCTGGCCTCGATGACACTTTTCGTTCGAAGCACTGCAATCCACAAGGAGAATGTTTTAGTCTTTGGATCCGGTCGTCAAGCCGAGTGGCATGCCCGCCTTGCCTTGCTCTTATACCCGGACCAAATCAAACGAGTGACATTCGTCAATCGCGGCCGTCAACGGCTCGAAGAAATGGAGCACAGTGTTTTCAATGATCTGCGTCAGCGCTATCCCATTCTTTCCGTGAACACGCTCGCCAAAGAAGGTACTCCGGACTATGAAGAGCGACTCCTCGCCGAACTCCAAGCCTGCGATGTAATCTTCAGCTGCACGCCCTCCCTCACACCGAACTTTTCCTACTCTGCGCTCCAGTCTGCGCCTAAGCAGCGCTTTATTTCGCTGATTGGATCCTATAAGCCGCCCATGCATGAGATTGATACGGAGACTCTGCTCTCGGGTGGAGAGAAGATTTACGTTGATTCGAGATCTGCCTGCTTGGAGGAATCGGGCGAGCTGATTACGGCGAAGATCACGGAGGAACAATTGACTGAGATGGGTGATCTTCTGGGAGAGTTGGGCCCAGCAGAGGCAATTGATATTCCCGAGGGTGCTAACGTAATTTACAAGTGCGTTGGGATGGGTTTGATGGATCTGATTATCGGGAAGAAGGTGCTTGAGGTTGGGAGTGCTGGTGGTCTAGGAACGCATGTTGATGGATTTTAAGGATTCGCCGCTGTTTCTCTGATTTTTATATGCCGTCTTCCTTTTGAACCCGGATCTATTTCGAGAACATTGGACATCTATTGGACAACACATAGGACACGGTCGTGGCTGTTAAACTTGCTCTACGGCGGAACTCCGAAAACCCATCCATATAGTCAATTGCTTAATCCTCCAAGTTTGATACCACGATGGATGTAGAAATTTACTAGCCTCGTGGTGAATCAGACATTTCAAATGAAAGTCATCGCTGACACTCTTGCTTACAAATGGGGCTCTTTAATTCGAGTTTGCTCTAGGGGCCATAGTGGGCCGGGACAATCAGTCACCTTCTCTAACCTTTGGGGGCAAGATGCAAGGATCTCTGGTCGAAATAAGCTCTCAAGAGCAGATTCCCATAACTACCACAATCATGTCTCATTGATTTGAGTGAGAATGGGCTTCGTAGATACGGTTCAGTAGCGGATATTCGGGCAAATGCCGAGAGGAGTCAAAAGCGGAAGGTTTGGAAATCTCAATTGGGGAAAGAAAAAGGGCAGTTCTGCCAGAATGCGGGGCTACGGCGAACCGATGCGTTATCGAGATACCTTTTCGAACTCTCCCATCGGAACTTTCTCCTCCACCTCCGCTTCAGCAAACCGACTTCGGCCCCCCGACTTATCTGACACCCCTGGCGGCTTCAGCCCTGCCTGTCCCCTAGGCTAGCGTGCTCCAAGCCTCCAACTGCCGTCTGACTGTCCCGCGGTGAACCCCAACTCCGCCTTGTCCACCTTCTCCACAGACGATGCCCGGCGCACCGCACCCTCGTTGATCCCGCCCGCTATGGACGACTCGACTCAAGCACCAGTGCAGCCAACCCAGCAGCAGCCCAAACGCCCTCGTGTGACCGAAGAGAATCGCAAACGCGCTGTTCGAGCGTACGTCGATCTTCCCCCATGCACTCGCACTACACTGCGTCCTTAGCGCGCGCTAACATACCCGGGTCTCGTGCAGGTGTGACGGCTGTCGCAGAGTGAAAGAGAAATGTGAGGGCGGTGTCCCTTGTCGCCGGTGTCTTCGCTATCGCCGGCAGTGTATCTTTACACATATAGATCCTGCTGAGAAGAGCCGATCGGCTTCTGTCTCGTACGTATCTGGCGCTGTCAGGAAGTTGACTTGCCGTGCTGACGAATCCATTTGGGGAGGTATACAGGCTGCTCGAACGAGCTGCGTCGCTGAGTCGGCATGACATTCAAGAAGCAGAGCGGGTGCGCTGTATGGAGCGTATTTTGTCTTATTATGTTCCCAATATCACCTTCGATATCCAGTCTCTGCGCCAAGCTGCAGAGGAACTGACAAGCAAACGCCGCGAGTCGGAGTCGGATGTACTCTCGATGAAAGCCGATGCGAATGATTTGGAAGACCTGGCAATTGACGAAGAGAACTTTACAATCAAAGCTCTCCCCGACAATACGACTCGTACGTCCACAATTCTGAACAATGCAAGTATCGGCGATCATCAGCTAACCCGTTGGACAGAATATTCCGGGGAGTTTTCCTATCTCAATTTCTCCAATAAAATTCGAACGAAAATTGATGAGTGGATGAAGACGGCAGCACCAGAAGTAAAGGCCCTCATATCTTTCGCGGACCATGAAATACAACTTTTACTAACCGGATGTTTCGCAGGCTAGTACTGAAGTTGAACCATTTGAGGACCGATGGCGGGCCACTCAACTTCAATCCGGGTCTTCGTTAGTCTCAGCTTCGATTACGTGTCTCCCTCCGCGCTATGTGGCAGACTTCCTGGTCCAAATCTTCTTCAAATATGCACAGACAAACAACTTTTACGTCGAAGAGGACTGGCTTCAGGACAAAGTAAATCTCTGTTATACTAATCCATCCAGTCTGTCCTCTGATGACGCTGGTGCAGTATGCGCACTTCTGATGGTTTTGGCGGTTGGTACACAGTTTGCACACATGGAATCGACCACTTCGGTGAATCGCCCGCCTCCAGCCGCCAACACTGACCAGGACCACCACTTCTCCGAGGATGAGGTCGGCCTCACGTTCTACCAGTTCGCCTCCAAGTTGTTGCCGGACATCATTGCCACAGCCTCGGTGCGAAGTGTACAAGCTTGTCTGTTGATCGGGACATACCTGCTTCCTCTCGATACTTCGGGTCTGTGCTACACCTACTTTGGCTTGGCTTTGAAATTGGCCATTCAAAACGGAATGCATAGAAGATACCATGGTGAAGGGCTCTCGCCTCGAATGATTGAAACACGAAACCGAGTGTTCTGGACTGCTTATACCATTGAAAAACGCATCAGCATTCTGCACGGCCGGCCGGCGTCCCTAGCGGATGCGGATGTTGACGCACCGCTTCCTGTGGATTTCCCCGGTATTATGCCAGCGACGCAACAGTCAAATCATACAAACATGATCGCCTTGATTACGCTCACTCTGAAGCTTGGAGAGGTTTCGAATGAGATTTCATCGCTGCGGACTTGTCGGAAGGGGCAACAGCAAGACTGTCTTGAGCGACTACTCAACATTCGGAAACACTTGGTAGAATGGTGGTCAACACTCCCAGAAGAGACCAATTGTCGCGATCTCAATCCAAGTGGACCATTATTTCGGTCTAATGTTCACCTTAAGCTTGACTACTGCCTTACCCGAATCTTCATTGGACGCCCATTCCTCTTCAGCAACATCAAGGGCCTGTACCAGAATCCTCACGCCGCCACCTCAAAGGGTCCGTCTGGTATGGCAAAGAATCGAGCTACTCTTGTCACAGACTGTGTCGAAGCAGCTCTGGAAATCATCGATCTGTGTCGCCTTCTTCGAGACGAAACTGGCCTGGCGCGCGCTTCGTTCACTGAATTCAGTTCATGTCGTGCGGCTCTCCTGGTCATTTTAGCACAAGGCTTGACTAAGCGCACTGAGCGCCTTGGCGCTGCGCTTGACCAAGGTATTTCCTTGATCAAAATCATGTCAATGGGTGTTGGCTCCGCACGTTCGGCTGTGAGTGTCATTGAGGCCCTTGAGCGAGCCATTCGACGCCTTGAACTCTGGAGCGAAACCCATCAATCTCAAAGCAACGGTGGCAGCATTGAATCTGCCTACGACCGCTTCAAGAACTGGGAAATGCTCTGGAAAACTGGCCCAGTCTCACCTACAACCATGGCGTGGAAGCAAGAGGCGTATGCCAACGATCCCACTATGCAGCAAAGCATGAACCACCAAGCCCCCGATCCCTCTGTGGCGGGCTCCGTTATGCCAGGCGTGCCCATCACACCTCCAGTCTTGCCGCCAAATAGTGCACATGACTCCCACGCAGCACTAGGTAGCCATGACCACGAGGTTCTTGAAAGTGATATCCCTGGCAGTAGTATCTCGATTCCGGACAGCTACTCTGTATCACATCAATCCCTTTCGCAGATGCCTCATTTCGGCTTCGACCACTTTGTCTCGAACTTTCCCCAGGAGCTGGGTGAATTCACGGCCATTCCATGCTTTGAGCCTGATACGCAGGGGAATCCGGCCGGTCTGCCCGTTGGTACAGAGCTGAAGACCCCTGGCAGTGCAGATTCGCATTGGTTGCAATATATGAACGAGTGACTGGCTTTCATCAATGCGTCTAGCTTGGAACAGCGATTCTTTTTTTCCTTCGGTGTTTGTTGGTTGGGGTACTGGATTTCCGTTTATACCACATCTTGTAAATTGGTTCACTTTCTTCGCATCTTGTTTATAAGGAAGTAGATTGTCGGACTGTAGTCGTCTCTCTTATATTTTCGTTTGCCCATCGCCTGGAGATAAAACATTTTTACTTATTCACATTGGTCGTAATCTAGACAACCATTGCTCAGACAGCCACTAGTAAGGTACAAAATGGTATCGCTAATCGAAAACAACCTTCTTTCCTTGGAACGTCGCCGTAGACGCCTGCTCCTTGAGCTTCCGCTTTGCCTCCCACGACGGGTGCAATGGTCCAGTATCTTGAGGAGGGTTCCTAGGCTTGTTGGCATGGCCATGTCCAGCGCCCGAGCGGTCATCATAACGATTCTGAGACCGCCCTGCACCAAAGCCACCTCTTCCACCACGATCGCCTCCCCGCCTATCACGATCACCACCCGTCGCTCCCTTGCGCGTATCCCATCCACTATCCCTACTCCATTTCTGTTTCCTTTGCTCCTCCTGGACGTGGTTTGCTTTCGCACCATACTTCTTTTCCCAGAGCGCTCGGCGGGCTTGTTGACCCATACGGTTCTTACGCTTGGGTGGGCCGGCGGCTCCTTCGTCGTCGGTGGCCTCCTCAGAGCCAGACCAGTAACCACCCATCATAAGCGAGGGAAGGAATGTGGTGCTTTGCGCTGGCTCCTTAGACCCCTTGGCTGCTTTGACCTTTTTGGAGGGTGGTGAGTCCTCGGCAGAGAAGTCTGGGGAGGGAGAGCGGGAGATTGAGTCTGAGATGTCGTCTCCCAGATCTTGCTTGTGCGCATTCTCAATATCATCGTCTGACCCTGACTCATCGTCGGAATCTGACCCTGGGGCTAGGCGGGCGTCGAAATGTGCGAGGTCGTCGCTGTCGATGTCCTCGTCGCCAGATACGCTCAAGTCTTGGCCGTCAGCAGACTCTAGCTCCTCAGCGTTGTCTTTCGAAGATTTCCTTGGTTTCTTCGGTGCCGCTTCCTCATCTTCTGACCCGGAAACATCGGCCTGTTTACTGGTAGATTTCTCTTTCTTAGGCGCATCCTTCTTAGCACCAGCCTTGTCCGTCTTCCCGGCAGGCGCGTCTTCAACTCCCAACAATTTTCGGATTCCATTTATAATTTCGGGCATCACGTTCTTCACGGGCGTGGACTTGAACAGCCTACCATGGACATTGGATTCGGCAGCGCTCTTCGGTCCCTCAGTCGATACATTCTTGGCTTCTTGGAATTCTTTGAAAGTCGGTGATTCGGCAATCCGCTTGGTTTTGGCGAGTTGTTTGAAGAGATATCGCTCTGCTGTCTTTGGGTAGTCGATTGCCTAGAAACAGTCAGACCGGATCAGTTCTCAGAATCCTTGAACACGGGATTATTGATCCGATTGTTACCTTCAATGCGTCCACTTCCTCCGCCAGTCGCGCCAATGTCGCAGCATTACCATCAGCCTTGGCAGTCTTCTCACGCCGGCTGAGTTTTTGTCTCTCGAAGCCGCGCGCGGTTTTCAGGCCTTTTGCTAGGATTTGTACGCCTTGTTCGAATATGGTTGTGAGCCGGACGGCTTTGATTGACAATTTGCGGGTGTCGAGTCGCGATGGACCGTTGAACTCGGAGAGCTTGCGCTTAGGCATAGTTATGGTGGTATCTGGATGTGATATATTTTCTGATATGGATCTCAATAGGATTTCTCGGCGGAAAACGAAGAGCAGGAATGAGACTGCGCCGAGTTATCGAAGATCTTGAAGTGTTGGATTTCCGGAGCTTTTTTTTTTCTTAGCGGGCGCGGATCTTTTGCCAAGATTCTCCGCCTCCGGGCCTCCATATCCGCTCTTCACGGCTCGAGGGCAGCCATGTGATACAATCAAATGTTAAGATCTTTCTTATCAAATTTTCACCACTGTGGTTCTTGGATAAAACTCATCATAGTACAAACCTCAGGAAACTGATTGGAAGATGAAAGATAGGTCCCAATTTTATGAGAACCGACATGAATTGGAACATCTATTACATACAGTAGTACAGAGATACCCATCTATAGACGAATCTGAGCGCTACGTCTTGGCACAATTTGGTGAAAAGTGAAGAACACCAATGGATCGATTAACGATATGTACATACAAACATGGTAATGAAAATTGATACGCGTACAATCCCTTTCTATTTCTTTTCTTCCTCCTTGGGCTCTGGCTTGGGAGTGGGCAATTTGAACTGTAATCCACTTGATTAGCCAATGCTCCATGCGGTAGAATTTCGGATTATCACTTACGGACTCGGGCGTCCGGTTCTGGCCAGAACCGACAGGCTCCCAAGCGGTAGAGCCACTCTCGAAGTTACGGAAAGCCTGGGTGAGCTCAAGGGGCTCGATAACGATGCGCTTCTTCTCCTCGTCGTAGCGCAGCTCAGTGTAACCGGTCAGGGGGAAATCCTTGCGCAGAGGGTGACCATCGAAACCGTAGTCAGTCATGATGCGGCGGAGATCGGGGTGACCGGAGAAGAAGACACCGAACATGTCATAGACCTCACGCTCGTACCACAAAGCACCCTCGAACAGACCGGTCACACTGGGGACGGGAGTGGCCTCGTCGGCGTAGGTCTTGACACGGATACGAGAGTTGTAGCGGACGCTCAGCAGGTTGTAAACGACCTCGAAACGCTGGTCACGGGTAGGGAAATCGACACCGGTGATATCGGAGATCTGAGTGAACTCGGCGGAGGTGTGGTTCTTGAGGAAGCTCATGACGGGGACAACGCCAGCGGGAGCAGTGTAGACAGTGAGCTCGTCCTTCCAGACAGTGAACTGCTGAATGTACTTGGGCAGGCAGGACATGATGTACTGTCCATAGCTGTGCAGACCGTCGGCCATGTGCTGGTACTTGTCGGTAGGGTTGACGATAGGGGCGCGGAGGGGGCCAGTAGCTGCTCGAAAGTGATTCAATTAGACCTTTTATACCATGACAGATCGCCAAAGTTATTCACATACGAGGCCGTTGCGCCTGGCGCATGTTCTCAGGCTCCGGGGCGCCCGGTTGTGTTGATGCCTTCGCGGCATACCGCAGGGAGGATGAGGAAAAGGTGCGAGAAGCATTGGACCTCGCAGCCGAAGCCACAGAACGTCCAGAGCTTAAGCGCATCAAAGAGCGAGCGGATGCCATTGTGGGACGGAGAGCAATGGCTGCGACACGAGGGGACGAAGGCACGTAAGGCGGATTGTGAAGATGGAGGTTGGTTGAACCTGTGGGAATCACGTGATGCTGACAAAATATATGGGCCACGCTAAACGCCATCGGGCAATGCCAGCAAAATGAAGCCGCGCTTCAATTTCCTTCCTTTCTTCTCCTTCGCCGTCCACCTTCTCCCCCAACTCATCACCCCTCTTTCCCTTCTCTTGTTCTTTCTTCTCTTCATTCCGTTTCTTTGATTTGTCCTGGCTCCGGAGTCGTGTCCTCGTCTCTTTTTATTTTCTGTAACCCCGTTTCTATTGGGTGCTGGCGTTGAGATTCCCGTGTCGCTTTCCCCGTTCACACCACACTAGCCTTGCCGCGACCATGTCCTCTAGTCGCCAACAGATCGACTCCGTCATCGACGATGACGATGAGTTCTGGTACGTGTTGATCCTTCAAATATTATGCGGCTTGGCCACTAATACCTCTTAAGCCCCCTTTGCATCGAAGAGTTCGATCTTTCGGACAAGAACTTCAAGCCTTGTCCCTGTGGATATCAGGTATGTCAAAATGGGACTTACACATTCGCCACAACCCTCTGGTTCCTTGCAGAGGCCCTTTTTTTCACGGCACTGACATTTTACACCTCAGATCTGCCAATTCTGTTACAATAATATCAAAACCCACAGCGAAGAGGGCCGATGCCCAAACTGTCGCCGCCCTTACGATGACAGCACCATTCAATACAAGATACCAGATGCGGAGGAGTTAGTGATAACCCCTCCTTCCCTAATTTCTCTTGAGTAGTGAGCGTGTGATTCGCTGACATATTCCTTCTACGATATAGATTCAAGGCCGACTTGGCACTCAAGCATAGAAAGGCTGCCGCAGCCAAGAAGAAGGAAGCCGAAAAACGTGAAATCGAAGCCTCCAGTCGGAAGAACTTGGCCGGTGTCCGTGTCGTCCAAAAGAACCTGGTCTACGTCATTGGCCTAAATCCGACAATTCGCGACGAGAACCAGCTGCTACAGACTCTCCGCGGGCGGGACTACTTTGGTCAATATGGTGATATTGAGAAGATTGTGGTTAGCAAGGCTAAACCTGGCGGCAACCCTCACCAGGGCATCGGTGTCTACGTCACCTTTTCACGGAAGATTGATGCTGCGACTTGCATCGCTGCGGTGGATGGTTCTGCAAACGGTGACCGTGTTTTAAGAGCTCAATATGGGACAACCAAATATTGTTCCTCGTTCCTCCGCAACGAGCAGTGCAATAATCGCAACTGCACTTTCCTGCACGAAACGGGAGAAGACAGTGAAAGCTACAGTCGTTCTGATCTTTCGTCCATGAACACTTTGTCTAGTCAGCGACCAAGCCACCCTCCGCAACCTCAACACCCTCCCCATGTTCGCCCAGTCCAGCCCATCACGCACACCATGCGCCGACAACCCAGCAAAGATGATTCGATCAGTGGGCGATCGGGTGCTCCGGACGGGCCTGCGCTCCCCTCATCTGCTAGCTGGGCAAACAAAGACGCCACCATTCGGACCAGACGAGCTAGTCTGACCGGTAGTCAGGCATCACAAAGCCCGCGGCCTGCGAGTGTCACTGTTGCCACACCCGTTGAGGAGCCCAAGCGGGTTGAGAAGCCATCTCCTGTTACCCAGGATGCGCAGCGGACATCTCAACCTGTTTCAAGATCTCCGACAGTTCAACCCGCTCAGCCGCCATCCCCCGAGCCGCCAGCGTCAACACCTTTCGATAACCTCGTTAAGGACATAATGAACCCTAACTTCAAGTTCATTTTCTCTACTGCCGATCTGCCAGATGAGGAGGTTAAGGCCATCCAGTCATACCCATCGTTCATCGACCCCTATGGTGGTGTCAAGCGGCGGGCGATGCGTGAGAAGGCTGAGCAGGAACGTCTCAAGCGGGAACAAGAGTTGCTCCAGTCTGCTGTCGTCGAGGAGGAAAGCCGTGAGGCAGGTAGCCTGCAGCTTGGCGGGGAACCGGAGGAGTCTAACCCCCCACGAGGCCCTCAACAGTCTCGTGAATCCCATGGCGCTATTCAGCCACCTTCTCAGCAAGGTACTGCGGACAATTCAACTGTTGGCTCGCCAGTATCTGCGGCCAGTCATCAATTCCAAGGGTTGAACTTGGCAGGCCGAAGCTTGACACCCTTGCAGCAGCAGCAACTGATGCTGCTTAAGTCAGCTGGCAACCAACAAGCGGGTATTGCCGACCATTTGAGCTCCGCTGCCTTGGACCAAGCCACCCAGCTACGCCAAGGCCTGTTGCATAATCAGATGGCCCAATTCAATGCGCTACAGGGCCAAAGCCGCCAATCGTCGCGGTTCACCTTCGCAAATGATGTTGGCTCCAAGAACATCAGCAATGCACGCATGCTGAGCCAGATGCAGGCCGGGACTCCTAATCCTCTATCCGCTCCTAGCCCCCAGCATGCTCTCGCAGGTGGATTCTATGCTAGTGGTGTCCAAGGTCCTCCTCCCGGATTAAAGACGGCTGGAACCCCTCCGATCAGCGGCGGCGGTATGTTTGCACAAGGCCATGGCTTTACAGCCAACGCCAATATTGGACTGGGCTCCAACATGGGAAAACACGATGCGACACCGGAGTTGATGCGTGAATTACTTCGTGGCCGAGGCGGCGCGAATATCGGTGGTGTACAGGGCCAGGAGGCCGCAAAGCGTGAGTTCATGATTCCTTTTCTTCAACAGCACCCAACCCCACCTCCCCTGACTCCCGTCAACGGCCTTCTCAGCTCTTTCTATGGGTCCCAGACAGGTCCAGGACTTGACTCTGGCGGCGCACAGAAGCAGAAGAAGAAGGGGAAGAAGCAGAGACACGCTAACACTTCCTCCGGTGGAGGTGGTGTAGTAGATCTTGCGGACCCGAGCATTTTGCAGGCGAGGATGCATCAGGTCGGTGCCAATGCTACTGCTGGGCAGGCGTTGTACGGGAGCCAGGGTCAAGGTGGGTACAACCCCTCAATGATGTACGGCGGCGGTGGTTTTAGCCGCTGGTGAATGACTCTCCCTTTTCCTTCAATATCCCTCTCTTTACCTATACCATGTTTATGATTTCCCCTCTGCATTCCACGCTCGCGATTCCTTGTTATGATCTTTCATCATGTGCGTTGATGGGGCTTTATTCCCGATGACTTTCTATCCTTCCCCTGGCTTTTTCTTTTCTCACAATCACGCGTCGGGCATCTTGTCTTTCTTTGTTTCTTTTCAAAAATAGGGCTAGCAGCTCTGAATCAACGTGACTGGCTAGCGTGCCTTTGGCGTGTTGCAATGGGCTTGTCATTTGTTCTTCTATTTTCTCTTTTTGGTTTATACCGTTCTTGTTCCCACGCGTCTTCGACGCGTCTTGCATCTTGTCGACCCATCACATGTTCTAGGGTCCTTATTTTTGTTTCTACCCGGCGGCTGTTGTTTCCCTCTTATATCCCTTTCCTGATATTGCATTCGGCTCTTCGTTCGACTGCTTGCAGCGTCTTGAAGGCCGTGGATGGTTTTCTCATGGATTAATGTACGTTAAGACCTCCCTACCCTGATATTGCCATTTCTTGGAACAGGGTCTTATTCGAAACCAGTTGTCTCACAGCCGTTGTCCATAGACCCTTTGCCCTACCGTGTACCTGGCCTTTAAGGGACAGTACCCATCATGTAATTACCCGTCTGGCGCGTCGGTATCTTGCAACGCGCTCTTTACTAGGCCCGTCGCGTGATTGTTGCTTCCTCTTGCACCTGGCTCCATCGTTTCAATCGCTTGCTGCATCTCGTTGATTTTCACTGCTCACGGTGACTCAAATTGTGCAAGGTGGCTGACAAGACCTTGACAGTGAACGAAGACTTTCCTCCACTAGGTGGCCTACTGAAAGATAGTCACCCGGTTGATACTTTCGGCTTCCTCAAGTCCCAGCTTCCCAGCGATTCTGCCGGGCGTGTTGGCACACCCTCTCTGCCTCCTGGGCTCCCATTGCCGCAATCCCATCCGGCATCAGCCGTTTTTCAAGACCAATTGAGCTTGTCGAAGCCATCATCCCCCGCGCCCACTCTGCCTCCCGGCTTGAATATGGATATCTCTCGTGGCGGGAACCCGTCTGAAAACAATTCGGCGGCTGAACCTTCGTCCCTGTCACCCGAGTTTCCTTCGCGTACGGCCACCACATCTGCTCGATCTAAAGACGTATCCCAAATCTCTTTGGGCTCTCCAGTGGCGAAATCCGCACACAAGGCGCGAATGACGAAGCTCGACTTGTCGACACTAGATTCTCCCACTAACGCTGATCAAAGTCCTCTCATCGGCACTAAAGGTAGTCCGATTCCTCTTTCTATGCATTTGGGTGTCCAAGAAAGCGCATCCAGCAAATCTGACCGAGTTTCGTTGGGGACTTTGGTATCTGGGCCAGGATCTGTAGCTGCAATCGGATCGCGTCCAAACACCCCATTGACCACTGTCTCGCGAGTCTCGGACTCATCCATTCTTCGTCAACCGCGCATTTTGCGAGTGGTAGACACTCCGAAGACCGAAATTCCTCCTCCAATTACAAATGCACCGTCGGCACCCGTTTCTACCGCGAAATCTGGCAAGACGCAATCCCGCAGACAGAGCGTTTCATCTAGCAGCAGGCCAGATACACCTGGAGATTTTGGTTCGGAAGCCGATCTTTTCCCGTCGGCCTCCGTCTCTCGTGCTAGCTCTCCGCCGGCTACCACGCGCATTGGTTCCGCCCCTGTTCGCTCGATCACAAAAAGTCAACTCAAAAAGGAGAGACGACAGAAGGCAAAGGAAGCTGAGGCCAAGCAAGCGGAGGTTGTGACCCCCGAAGAGCCCGTCCAAGCCCCCATCCTTGGGAGAAAGCGGAAGACCAAGAAGGCGCCCAGTGCCACCACATCCTCCGCTGACTCTGCACCTACTACTGTGCCTGTGCCTGAGCCTCCAGTCCCTGTTAAGACTCCCGCTCCGTCCCCAAAGAAAATGGAGCCAAAGCCTGAACCTGCCAAGAAAGTAAAGGAAAAGGAGCAGCCGCCTGTCCAAGAGACCAAGCCTGCTCCGGTGGTAGAGCAACCTGCGCCACCCCCAGTTCCGCCGGAAGCCTGGCGCTCCCGTAACACGGTCGAGCAGCTGATCAAAGACGCTGAGGAGTCTGGACGTCCGGTGAAGGATCTTTTTGTGGAGAGAACCAAATCTCTTCATGAAGTGCTTGCCGAGATGCACAAGTCTGGTGAACTGGACTTGAACAAAAGCTCGTTGTTCAACCCCGCCAATCTCGGTCAGCGTACCGATATGAAGGGCATTGACTCTGATTACTTCTTGCTTAAGCAACCACTGGAGCTTTTTGAATCTCATCGGCGTGCTCTCATGCGTGGCCAGCCCGTACGAATTGACGCGGAGCAGCTTTCCGATCGCTGTTTGATCACCCCGCGCGGATGCGTGCTGCGTCACCTCTCCGCCGAAGAAGAAGATCGATACCTGGAACTGGAGAAGAACCGAGGTGGTGCTATGGATCCCTTTGTGGTCGGTGACGACTCGAGTAACATCAATGGTGGACTGGATGCCCTCTTCGCGACACCCGAGAAGTACAATATCTGCTGGGTTGACGACAACTCTGCCCGCATGGGTGCCACCTCTCCCACTGGTACCCTGAACACTGCTGACTCGGTCATTCCCCCTAATGTCCTGTCGGCCATGGAAGCAGACAGTGAGCGCAGCCACGACTGGGCCGTTGCCCACTCTGCTGAACTTCTTCAGACCACCACTGCTGCTGTTCGTTCGTTCGCTGCGGCAACTGCTAAGCAGATGTTGGGCTCTGCCGGTGTCCCCGGGACCAATCCCAGCCTCGATGACGTTGCTGCCATGACCAACGAAGAGCTCAAGGAACTCGCTGGTCAGTCTCAAAAGGAGTTGGAGAGCAATCGCAAGGAGCTCGATGTACTGGACAAGAAACTTGCTGCTTTGCTTCGGCGCAACAAGAAGATCCAGCAGGCGGCCCTGGCTTTGGCCGAGGAAGCTTAAAGGATCTGTTGAGCACCTGCTTAGGTCTTCGGTTTACCGGCGCTTCAAAATTGCGTCTGGGACCCTCAGCTGATGCTCAATCATGTATGATTACCATGTACCATTAGCACAAATATCAATATCCTGTATGTTTAGATTATCTCTGAGTAGCTACCACTGTAAATGTCTAGATTGAGGATCAGCTTGACCGTTGTATGACGAGCCCTCCTTCAGGAGTGGAGGTGTCCAATCAATCTGCGTGCTGTATGCCGTATGCCGTATGCCAAATGAGTGCAAACATATGCTCCTCTCACTCTGTCTAATACATCCTGCTATTAAAATCTCCGACTCGACGCTCGAACCCCTCTGGCTACGTACGTGCGTCGTGGTCGAATGCAAGTTGACCAGAAAAATATCCGGGTAAAGAGCAATGATTTCTCCGATCACCCACATGAATCCAACACTAATTACCGTCGAAGTGCCTTTCCCTCGTTGACGCAGAGTCATTCGGTGCAATAGGAAGCAACCAACTAAAATCCTTCATCTGCCGGGGTTCCCGATTTGAAACAGTCCTTCATAATGGCGGGACCAGCCTTGCGTGTCTGTGGCGCTCACGCAATGTGATATGATTTACCAAATCGCCGACTCAGTGTATTTGCAAGGGTTGTGGAGTGCTAATAACACACAATCCTCACACCGATTCAGTAAAAAGAAAGTTTCAAATCACATTTTTCCTTGACGAGGGAATGTAGATATACTTCTGTAGATCGCCAAGCAGAATGACACCCGTTCCAGTGGGTTCCACTAGCGATGGTCCGATCTGGCCAGGTGGGGGTGGTCGATATGTGAAAGGCGCTTGGAGATGCATTCCTTATGACAAGTCACCCCTAGCATACGATCGGCTCCATTCTTTTGAGATTTAGATTGTGGCTTTGGCTTTAAGACTACTTAGGTGGACTAGTCGGGGGCCACATGAGCACACGGGGACTCTTGGCCCCCCTTCAAGGGTATCCTCCTGGCCCCCAAGGATATTCCTGTTCCTGGCAGTCCTGGAAAATTTGCATCTCAATCTAGTGTATACACCAAACTTGGCGGGGCAAATCCTTTGCGCTTGGTCTAATAGGGTTGATGAGGTGTTTGCTGAAACGAGTGGCTTACTGCCCTCTTCGTTCTATGGTCAACGGCAATAAATCCGTGATTCCTTCGACGCCTTTTGATGCTCGAGGCTGTCATGGGCTTCCTTCTAATTTAGGGCTATGAGGGTCTAGGTTCTCGAGCTAGTAGAGTTGCCAGTATAAAGACCCGTATATATCAGGCCTCTTGGAGAAATAAGTCGGTGTTATTTGGACTGTTCCCTTGTCGCTCCTTTCCTCACATTCAACCTAGAACATAAACCCTGGTGGTTCTTTGATTTATTTCACTCCTTTGCAGATCAATCTATTCATTCATTCATTACTCATTCCTCCAGTTGAAGATGCGCGGCTTCTCATACCTGCTGGGCACGGCCCTTTCTATGGCCTCGGCCGTTTCTTCCACAGCCATCATCCTCCCTCTATACGTCTGGCCTATCGATGACAGCACTTGGAGCCCAGTCTATGATGCCATCTCGTCGCATCCGGATATTGAGTTTCAAGTCATCATCAATCCTGACAGTGGTCCTGGAGATACCAGTAAGGAGAACAATCCCGGTTAAGAAAGGAACTTTTAGGTCTAACAAAGAAACTAGCCTACCCCGATGCCAACCTCATCACTGGAATCTCAACGTTGAACATCTATGATAATGTCCATGTCATCGGCTACATCCGTACCAATTACGCAGAATGTGCGCAAGCGGAGGTTGACAGCCAGATCGCCGTGTACAGCGGCTGGTCGTCCTACACCGCAAAAAACATTTCAGTCTCGGGGATCTTCTTCGACGAGGCTCCTCGCACCAACGACAACACCAAAATCTCATATATGCAGAGCATATCAGCCACAGCCAAAAGCAGTAACCTGAACACGATCGTGTTCAATCCCGGAACCCCGCTGGAAGAAGAGTCGGCGGCTGAATACTTCGAGGCGGCCGATCTGATTGTCGAGTTTGAAAAGCCGTACTCTGAATGGACATCTATCATCCCGGCAGATCAATTTTCTTCCAGTAAGACATATGGCAAAGATGCTATGATTGTGTATAGTGCACCTCTGACCGCGGACTACGAGGCTGTCGTTCAAGAGGCCCAAGGTATGGGATTGGGTGCTGTTTACTTGACAAGCAGTGACGATTACATGTCTCTCGATACTGTGCCGAAGGTTGCGGCCTCTTTTACTCAGTAACTGAGGGCACTTCCACGGGTGCTCAGAAACTATGGCTTGAAGTAGACTGTCGTTCAATTCATTGCCATTGTTCTACGTAATGTACAGGTCTTCTATCAATAGGTCCAAAGAGCCCATCGGCCAGATATCATCATGGCTCACAGTGTGAGGCCTTGGGAAAGCAGTAGCATTAACCAATCCGCTGCTTTCGCCTCACCCATACTTCCCTGTCCCCTTCCAAGACCTGACCACTCGATACCGACGGGTCTCGTAATTGCACCTCCCAAATCTTGAGCTTGTAGTTGCCACGATCTCCCTGTCCGGAGAAAAGATCAAAGGACCACCCGTGCTTGGGACAGGTCAACCCGGCACTCAGGGTGATGCCGAAATCCTCAATGTCGAAGATACTCGCTTGTGAAAGTGGGAAAGAGGAATGCGGACATGACTGGGAAGGGTCATGTCAGTGGGGACCTGAGTGCAGGCAATTTGGATATAGCATTACACAGTGGGTCGCACTTACATGATCAACGGCATGGAATTTCCCTTTGTATTGAAACACAAGGACCTGGTCCTTCAAGTCCCCTGGCGCTTCGACGTCGGCTTCTTCTGGGCCATTTGAAATGGCCGACCCATCCGCCTTGGGGATGCGGAATGCCTTGCAGCTCGGTGTGATTTGGGAGCAATCTTTATCAAGGCTCAGGTCGGGAAATGCAGATGCAAGGCCAATCCGGTGCCAAGGATCTCCCCGAGCCCGCTGGAAGAAAGGAATCATCTTGTGTTTGAGGATCCGATGTTAAGATCGTGGCTGGACGCTTTACACAAACAGCAGGACCTGTTCCTCTCTTGTGCGGTAAATGCTAGTCTTGCCCCATGCCCGTCATAACCCAAATGCCCCTAGTGATATGCCCAGCATCACATTTCCATCCGATCTCGGGGCCAATTTCGATCGGAATGATTACGTAATATTCACACGTTGCCCACCTTCCTTTCAAACAGGGAGTCACGTGCAACATATAGATACAGCGATGGAAGGCTTTATTCTAGTCATATTCTTTGTACATCTGACTTTTGTATTTGTATGAAACTCTTGCATTATTCATTTAGTTTTCTCTAGAAAACGTAACAAAGAACCGACCTCCGGGCATCTAAAGTCTAATCCAGTCCCTTAGCTCCGTCCTTGTATGGCCGTAGATCATACTCGTCTGGATATGTTTCCAGGATTCGCTTGAGCTCTTTCATCTGCTCTTTAGCCTCCTCCGTCAATTCTTCGTATACATCCGTAAATGCTTCTCGGAGGGGCGGCTTCTTTTCACGCTCGGCTTCACTAAACTCTTTCAAGACGGCTTTGCGCATAGAGTCCCGAGTCTCCTGTTCCATGTCCTCGTTCCACAGCCCCTTGTTCTCGAGCCACTTGCGGAGACGGATGATTGGGTTGTCGCGACGCTTCCAGTCCTCGACTTCGACTCGAGCACGGTATGCGAAGCTATCGTCGCTCGTACTGTGGTGTGAGACGCGGTAGCTCATCGCTTCGATTAGGACGGGCCGTCCACCGTCGCTCAAGGCTCGCTGACGGGCTTCCTTCATAGCTTCATTGACGGCAAAGACGTCATTACCGTCCACTCGAATTGTGTCAATGCCGTAACCGACGCCACGGCTGGCAATTCCATCACCGCGATATTGCTCGAGGGTTGGGGTGGAAATGGCAAATCCATTGTTCCGGCAAACAAAGACAACGGGGCATGATCGCGTGGCGGCAATATTGAGTGCTGCATGGAAATCACCTTCACTAGCAGCGCCTTCACCAAAGTAACAAGCAACGATGCGACGTTCTCGGTTAGGATCCTGGAGATCCTGCATTTTCAGGGCGTAAGCGGCACCAGCAGCTTGGGGAATTTGAGTGGCCAAGGGTGATGAAATTGTGTGCTTGGCATGATCAGCGTCCAAGTCTGGACATAGGAATTCCTGGGCCGGACTTACCATGCGAGGATAATTCTGTCCGTAGTGCACGGGCATATTGCGGCCTTTACCCGTGTCGTTGCAATTGGCAAATAACTGGCCCATAAAGTTTTTCAAGGTAAATCCTCGTTGTTGGAAGACGCCGGCTTCGCGGTATTGCGCGAAAACCACATCATCTGGAGTGAGAGCTGCGGCGGAACCGACCGCGATACCTTCTTCACCAGCCGAGACCTATCCATTGACATCAGCCTCTGAAATTTTTGAATTTTTCTTGTCACCGGACTCATACCATATAGAAGCTCAGTCGTCCCTGGCGTTGTGCCTCGAACATGACCACATCCATGATGCTCACTATCACCAATCAGTTGCGCTCCATCTGGGAGTTTTAGAGTGCGTACCCGTCAACATATTCTTATACCATGTCAGAACCTCCTCATCTGAAACACCGGGAGGACCTCGTGATTTATCGACCAACTCGCCATCGGAGTCAATTACTCGATATGTGGGGATTGCGGGCAGATCGGAGGCTTTGAGGAACGTCATTTCGGTGGTAAACTTGCTGTTGACAGCACCGGGGAAGAGCACCCTGCATTCAATTGCACGTTAGTGCATACTCATTGAAAGGAGTCACAAGCAGTCTCTCACCGATCTGAGCCCGGTCTTTGTGAGATGGAGCCCATTCGCCGAGCAGGGTATGTGAGGAAAGGCGTCACAGCCCTGGGGCTGCTGCGAGTTGCTCGCCATGAGCGCTGGAGAAGGGACCTAGATGACATTGTTGGAGTGTTGAAAGAGTGAAAAGAATCATCTCCTCTCGAAGACCGAGTGGCAGATTTGGGGTTCTGGGGAAATATGGAGAAGGCAATGCGGAGAGGGCTCGGTTGGCGTCGGCATATTCACGTCACTTGGGGGCGCTGGTAGCCGACCGCCGACCGCTGGTTATCCGCTCGACTTTGTCTACGAAGCACTCCGTGCTCCTCTTCATAACCGAACAGTTACCTGGTCGGTGGATTTAATTATACGATGAGATTTAAAAGAAGGAAACCTCCGGTCCAGAGAACGCGTCCGATTATGTGTATCCGACCTTCTTTGAGAAGCGACTCTAATTTCATTCCCAATTGTCGTTCATGATCACTCGCGCGCCAATCATCATTTGAGTTTCTCCAATCAGGGACTGATAAGACAACTTTCAGGTCTTGCCAGAGTTTTAAACCCATCTACGGCGGCCTATATTCGTGCCTTTAAGCCCACCCAAACCGCTTCGTCCAGGGAACCGCCTAGGATACAGTTCAGGCAACCGTTTAGGAAACTACCTACGCAACTATCTGGGAAACTATTGAAAATAACATTGAAAAACTATCTAAGAGGCTGTACTCATATATCACCGTTGGGGACTCGATTACGGTATTAATTAAAACCGTAGCATCATAAGCGTACGTAGGCCTCGGGGCCTAGACCTCCATCTAGTCGCGATCACAGGGTTGATGAAGTTAGGGGAATTAGTTAGGCCGTAAGAGGATTCAACATCAAGATGTAGATGGTATCTGCATTTCGGCTCTAGTAAACTCACTAGCCAGTAATTCGATTCAATTCCAATCATTTTTCTGCGATAAATTGCACTGCACTCGACAAAAGGGAATACACAGATTGTGTAGGATCAAGGATGCCGGAAAGCGAGATTCTGCCGGTCCAGAAAGTACTAAGGGTTTATGGCTATTTGTCCCCTATAGCCCGCCGTACCCATCAAAATTGAATGGAGATGGGTAATCGAGAGTGCAGATCAAATCACTAAAATTGAAACACGAACATGGTCCTTACCGGTGAGCCACACCTTACGCTGCATTCTACCAAGCATATCTGCTCAAGACGGTTTCTGAATTGACAGGAATCAACCTGACAGTATATTCATGATCAGAACGCAGACGCAACAATAAAGGCAATACTTGAGATACAAAACTTCAAGAAATAATATTCAATTTGATTATAAATTGGAACATTATCACTAAAGCGATGAGGGTGTGGTGTCACGGTATTAGGGTGAAATCAGTATCAGATCTATTGAAGGCTGGAGTAGTCTGACGAATAGCTATAGATAGAGCCCACTGAGGCTTTGCTTTTGAGAGCATCACCTACTGTAGGTCGGACAATGATGTTTAATTATGCGTCACTTCGTGGTTCCCTTTGTTTATTCATGACCATTGATCGGCGCTTTCCGTTCCTTCCTTGCGTCTAACCCTACTAGTCGACCAGCCTACCTTTGGCCCTAGGAAAATCCCTTCCAAATTACAATCGAGGGGTTGGAAAAATTCAGACTTTTAACTTTGAGCCCGAGCCTTGATCATGATAAAATGTGGTGGAGGAACTACATCTTCAGAAAGCCACTATCTCCTAAATTAAATATATCTTGCGCTTCAGGTTGGAAAGTTCTACCCAAGCCGCGACTAGACGCATCACAGGTCCCGGCAGGGAATTTTAGATCCGAAATTTATATACGGGCAAGTATAATAACGATATATCATTGTGTGGAGTTGCATTTTCACATTTAAGATCGGTTTTTCTACCCAAGGGCGTGGTTATACGCCAGCCGTGCCTCCGAGTTGCGTAGAGTAGAAAGTATCTTGAAGGTTATTTCACGACCAGATATTCATGATCAGAATACACTTCGTGGCAATGGTTCATTAGACCTCTAGCTAAAGGCATCCGTAGGTCTTTATCAAATCGTAATGTCGCTTTCAAAGCAGCTCTTGAAAGACAATATTAGTGAGAGTCTCTCACGGGTCCGAAATCTGTAAAACTAATTGTTGGTCTAACCTTATCGGTGTTGATATGAACTGAATTATTATGGGCATTATTGCTAGCCTAAACTCTAATTAGGGTTCCTGGGTCTCCAAAGAATGGAACCTATTTACCAATACGACAATAGTAGCGATATTTGGCTCGAATTCGGAGCAAAGTCTCTGTCAACAAAATGTGTGTGACGAAGGTTTCGCGGACTCAAGGCCCCATTGCCCTGTACACACTGCCCTTCGATAAACTCTTCACTATTTGGGTAGCGTTTGTCAAATCGATTAAGGACATTAGATGGTAAAGTGGGACAAGAACACTAATGTCCCGGACAAGATGTAGAATTCGACTGATGAAATCAGCATGAAACTTGGATACCACCCAGCAGAGTAGCTCAAGGTTGTGTGTTAGAGAGATCCTTGCTCCGTCTGATTGAAAACCAAGATTATGGACCGGACATTTGTTGATATTTCCACGAGGAAATCAAAACTTTAGAGTTAGGCTCAACCTCTTCGGTAGCTAGCCGTGTGGACAACTGTGTTGATCTCATGACGACAGAAAGCTAAAGATTTCTCCGAAGCGGCGAAGCTACTTACTCGGGTCTTCAAGCAGGGAAAGCTGGGATTCTACTAAACCTTGTTCTTGAAGGAGTTTTATATTCTCCGACATGTAATATGTTGAGCCGAAAATGTAAGCTCGCTCTCTATCAACAATGAAATTCGACGAGAGACGAATCGGGAACATACAAGTAATTGTGATAAATGGATAACGTGAGGGTACCACCAGACCTAAATCCAGCCCGTAGCCCTAAACACGAAATTGAAAATTATTAAATAATGTTATTAATATGGAGCCGAGAGACTTAGTGGCATTCCTCTCGATTATGGTTCCAGGTACCTGGAACTACGGAGTAATCAACCGTCATTTAAGCTTGTGTAATATCACATGTGGGTCTACAGTGGATCCTGCACCATGGGGGTCCGTAAGGTACCTTCGATCCGCGAATCACTGTATCTAATCGACTTCAATCGACCCAGAAGAATAGTTCTTTCCAGAAATGTGCTTCAGAACATAATGATGAGTAAGTCATTCTGATCTGAGGCACAGCTTAGGTAGGGCTTAGGTGAATAACATTAGAGCTATTGAAAGTAAAGATTCATGAACGGTAGAAGATCTAGAATAGAACTGCACACACCAGAGACTCATGAGTAAAGCGCGAATCAAGACGAAATGTTCGTCAAAGCTGGACCATTTCCTTATTTTGTAACATTAAAATACTTGACCTATGCACGCGCTTATTTCGATAGAGATGGGCCAAGGATTCCCGATGTGGCGGCCATGGAATGCACATCGGGCTGACCAACTGGACTCACATTTTTGGCCTAACTGCGATTCCGGGATACCGATCTACTGCCTCATGGCCTGAACGCTATTATTCCCGGTCTGGCCATACTATCCGTCTCATGCATCTGACTATGCTCGTCCAAGATGCGAATCGCGTCGATATTGTATCTAGCCCGCCTCGCGGCGGCGGCAGCAGATGCATCTGGAACCTGTTCAAGCACGGTTTATATTACTAGAACGACGGATGAAGCCTCTCCTAGTATGTTTTATTGAAAGGCAAAGATGAGGAATAACCAATAATGACATGGACCAGCTACAGCGCCCGCCATTACTGTGGCGCCGGATGATAGCGGCCAATTCACGGCCATCGGCGATGCGATCTCATATGCTCAAGGAAACGGTATACCGACAGTGACAGTCCTCCACGGCACGTATCCAGCTATCACTATTGAATCTACACCATCGGTCACGATCGTCGCGGAAACCAAAAGCGAATACGACTATACCCAGAACGAGGTGGTTGTCTTGAGCGACGGAACTGCTCTGACCATTGCCGGTAACCTTGCGGGACTGACCTTCACAAATGTCAATTTCGTGAACAGCGGATCATCTGGAAGCGCGGCAATCCTCAAAGGAACAGATCTCGGGTTTTATCAATGCCAATTCATATCATCTGGTGAATCGGGTATCAGTGCAAACCAAGCCCTGGCCGTGATTGCAAATAGCTATATTGAGGCACCGACAGATTTGATTGAAGGATCGGCGAACATCTACATTTTCAACACGGTCATCTCACCTACCGAAAGCTCCGCAGTGATTGTATATATCGAGGGTCCAACATCGAACGGCAAGTCTACGGTGGTGATTGATCGATCTAGAGTCTCCCAGAAGTCGGGGGCGAACAACAACAATGTCTACCTGGCCGCAGCTGCTGGGCCGGGAGCCGTTGTGGTGTATAGGGACTCTGCCCTGGGAGGCTTAATTGCCCCAAGTGGCGTCAAAATCGACAGTGAAACTCAAAACGACGCCAACCTCTACGGTGAATACGATACGACGGGTGCTGGCGCCTACATCAACAATGAGGATGCTCGGTCGGCGTTCGTTTCTTACCTCGAAACTTCAAGCCTATCTTCAGTGTCTATTGCGGCAGTCGTGGCTGATGGAAATTCGGACACGGCCTGGATTGACCCTGCTGTTCTAGCCGCCATTGAAAGTGCCGATGTTAGTTCTGCAGGGGATTCATCGACTGGGGGTGGAGATGGAACCCCAGGTTTGAGTAGTGCGCCAGGTTCAGGCGATGGCGACGATGGCGGCGATGGCTCGGGAGATAATACAGGTTCTACAGGTTCCTCAGGCTCAGGCGACGACGCTGGCTCGTCGGGGTCTGGTTCGTCAACTCCAGGCGACGGTACTGAGTCGTCAGGGTCAGATTCGTCCGGGTCTGGCTCTTCGGGTTCAGGGGATAGCTCGGATTCCGGCTCATCAAGCTCCGGCGATGGGACTGGTGACTCGTCAGCGAGTGGGGGTGATACTGGTGATGGTACTGGCTCATCAGGGTCAGGATCGACAGCTTCAGGCGACGGCACTGGATCGTCTGGTTCTAG